GGAATAATTAGTATTTCCATAGAAGTTTACACATAATAAGAACAGTACCGTAATTATAGATATCCAATCGAATGGGAAAATTTTGTGTGTTTGTTTGTTTGGTTTTTGTCTTGCTGCGACGCCTACAACGAAAGTCGCAGAAGGCGAAACATTACAGCAATTTCTATCTGGCATCTGCGGCGTAAACTTTTTGTATAAAAGCTTTGTATTGTATATAAAGAGGGTAGAAGACCTTGATGATTCATACCTTGCAAGCAGATGACTGTTCATTGTCCTTGACCTGCGTTCAGTTATCGACTGCTTTTAGAAAATTAAGTGTTTTTGTCATGAAATATTCACTTATTAGGGTTAAAAGGATAACTTTATTTGGTACATGGATTCATTTCATGGATCAGTGATCATGGTTAAGTTTTCGTGGTCAAGTCTGTATCTCAGAGTCAAATATAAATTTGGTGCCGTATGGAATGATTGTATAAGGTGTACATGTCCGACTGGCAAGTTTCATCTGATCTTGACCTCATTTTGTGGTTTATTGGTCAATATTAAGTTTTTGTGATTCGGTCTGTTTCTCAGATACTATAAGCAATAGATCAGCTGTATTTGGTGTATGGTGTACATTTCTGTCTGCCAGGTTTCATCTGACCTTGACCTTTTTCGTGGTTCATTGAACAATATCAAGTTTTTGTTTTGGTCTATTTCTTAGACACTAAATCAGTGCCGTAGCTACCTAAGGCTCGACTTGGCACGTGCCTATACGGCATAAATCTGACCTTGACCTCATTTTTATGGTTTATTGGTCAATGTTCAGTTTTCGTAATTAGACCTGTTTTTCGTGTGCTATAAGCAAAAAGCTTATTATATTTGGAGTGAGGTATGATTGTAAGGTGTACATGTCTGTCTACCGCGGTTCCTCGTACCTTGATCTCATTTACATGGGTTAGTGATTGTGTTAAGTTTATGTGATGCTTGTAGTAACACCTTCATATTACAGACTTTCAATATAAGTCAAGTGCAATCATGATAGGTAAAGCAGGCGAGACATTCCAGTGTGTGCACTCTTATTCAACTTGTACAGTAAATATTTCTGTATTTGAATATACAAGATTATGACTGTAAGGGAGCTACCATTTGATTTTTATGGGGGGGGGGGGGGGGGGCTAGGATGAAAAATTTTGTCCTGCCTTTTTATTTTTCCCTCTATTCGGTCCTGCCTTTTTATTTTTTCACTCTATTCGGTCCTGCCTTTTTTTTTTTTAGTTTATCCTGACTTTTTTTAACATAAATTGTCATCCTGCCTTTTTTTGGGCAAATAATCTCATCCTGCCTTTTTTTTTACTCAAAACTCCTGTCCTGCCTATTTTTTTCAAATTTCATCCTAGCCCCCCCCCCCCCCCCCCCCCCCCCCCCCCCATAAAAATCAAATGGTAGCTCCCTAACTCATTATCTGCTGTAATGTGAAGGGTCTTACACTGGTAAAACATGTGAAGTGTTCTATACCCTGTTGGATAGTTGTCTCGTAGGCAATTATACCACAACTTTTTATTTTATATCAAGGGCCTTATAATTGTTTACATCATCGTCATTTGGTATCTGATGGATAGTTGTCTCAATGGCAGTCATACCGCATGGTGGATTCATTTCCTAATTTTATATTAGTTCGAGAGAAAACCATACACACAATTTATTAGTTTCACTTGACTTGTTTATTCTTGACAAGCGCAATACTGACACCCCGTTGTTGGATTGACTTTGAAACCATTAGCACAATACATTTTACACAAAACTGGTGGACAAGATGGCGGTTGTGTATTGCATGCACAGTATTGACACCCGGTTGTAGGGTCAGTTCTGAAACCATAAGCACAGTATAATCTACAATAAACTGGTATACATGGTACCTTGGAAGTCGGGGTACTGTCAGGGAATACTACTGCATCTGAAAGTATATTTGTTTGCTTACAGTATTAGACAGCATTTATCAGCAGCATGTATACTAATAATTTTATAGTAGAATATGAATGTGTGTTTACCTTTATAATCCTTGATGGAAAATCAGCGGTTCATTGAGATATTTGTTACTGAATAATTACAACTGTTTTGCGTTTAATGGTTCATTGATCTTTACACTTTGTAAGTTTGTTACATTGCTACTAGTGGTGGATTCGGGGTGAGGGGGGGGGGGGGGGGGTGGGTGCGTACTTTCCTCTTGATTGGAAAACATATCAGTTTAGCATAAAATCGTTAAAAAAAACAATTGTTTCCCACGCTCCGTTCGGCGGTATGTATTCACTTTTCTGGAATTACGCCCCCTTTAAAAATTCTCGGATCTGCCCCTGAGCAATACATATTTTGACCAAAGCCTGACGGCATGCATAACTTCATAAATAATCTGTGGCTTGAAAACCGCCGGTTAATCAGTCGAATGTACCTTTGGTATCTTTCGCCTCTCTTTTCGAAGCCACACATTAGCATATACAGAATGGTTCGAATGTTTCGTTGCAAGCACTTGGATAGTTTAAAGGGGGTGTTAGGTTTACACTAAAGTTAATTCGAGATACATTGAAACAAAAAATATTCCTCTAGCATTGCAATCGAAAATTCCTTCGAAGTTCTATTCTATTAACAACATAACTAAATTACATCCTTTTGGCAATTCGACCTCATAGTTTTAACAGAGACATATAATACATAGACAGACAGACAGAGTATAACAAACAACAGCCCTTCGTCCATATCGCAATTTTAACGGTTGTGGACTTGGGACTAATGCATTCATCGATTGTTCTTAGTTCACAATACTGACACCCCGTTGATTGGTTGACTTTGAAACCATTAGAGTAGTACATACAAGTATATATATACAAGAACAAGTAGCTTTTATAAATACAGAAATGAAATTAAAAACATAAAGTTTCATAAGCATTAGTCCACGTACGATCCATGCTTTTAAAGGGCAAACGATACAGTTACAGGGAAGGTAATGACGTCGCTAACGTAAAATGTTATTTTTCGCAACGTCAAACTGTGACATATCGAATAAGGATGCATGTTTCGACTAAGTTTTATCTTTCAGACTGATTCAACCTGAAAACGAGTTCATGGACCCCTCTTTTTAAAAATGACATTAGGCTTAATTATGTATGAAGATTATTTGTGCCAATTTTTATGAACAAATCCCCGAATGTCCAGTAAATGTCTAAATTTTCGACCCGATTTATCTCTAAAAGTAGCACATGAAGGCATATTTTTTATTACATATTTGAATTGACTATGTGAAAATAGCTTGTATGCAAACTTTCGTCAAAAATTCACCGTGGGATCAAAACTGTATCGGTATGCCCTTAAAGATGTTTAAGTTATCATGACAAGATTTAATTTGTGTGGACGCCCGTTGTTTGAATTTCGAAGAGTCTAGTACTTACCACTAGCAATAGCTACTGAAACGTAAATTAGAATTATAAATAAACCATATGTTTTCATTGTTTATGTCTGTTGTTAATAGAAGTTCACCATTTCCTCTTATGGTAGTTTCTATTAATGAACGTCGAAGGACGATAAATGATTGTTGATTACCAACAGATGACAAAAATCACACACTTCTGTACATTAATTCACGTAGAATACTTTCAAAGTATATACGACCATGGAAGTAATATATTACTTCCATGATACGACCCATGTACGTGCTTACTTTCTGAATCATACGCTAACATATTACATTGTGAATCCCTGTAACAAAAATATTTACATGCATTTGAATAATCTGAACTATAGAATTTGCAAATGAACGACAAAGAAAACAATATATCCTACCAGATACATATAATACAAAAATTGTACTGTATGTCTCTAATCCTATCTAGGACTGTTGCATTACATAATATATTAGTACTAGATCATATGTACCATTAAGAAAAGGGTTGTCAGATGCAAAGTTTGAACTTTTGATATTTACTAAATTTTCTCCTACATGTAGTCCTAGCCTGCTCCTTTAGGGGCTGGTCAAGGAGTTTTAAATGGGGGCTTAATTGCCAGAAATCGTAATATATACTGCCGAGATGAGCGATGCAATTTTTTTGTGGACTATTTAATAGTAAGAAATGATATTTTTTTAGTACGGTGCTTTCTACGCCCCCTCTTAATCCGCTACTGGTCTTACTCTGAACAGATAAAGATTAAGTAAATAGCCTGGCAGCATCAGAAAAAAGTGTAATGCCGTTCAGGCAGTGATATTTTTTATATATATATATCTTTTTAATTTATTGTTTTTTTAATTAAGATTATTTAATGTATTTGATGTAATACGTGTTGCTTAATCTTTTATCTGCATGCTTATTTGTTTTATATTGTGTATATGTTATGTCATGTATGAGGGTCCTTCATTTCTTTCTTCTTAAACTTTTTAAACCATTATTTCTATTCTTTAACCTTTTAGAAAACCATTTTTCTCTATTTTGTTCTTTTTAACTTTTTAAACCATTTTATCTATTCTTTATTTATTTTGACCATTTTTCTCTATTCTTTATATGTTTGCCCTTTATTCTGCATTTTTGTCCATTATTCTCGTGACTATTCTGTAAACCCCATCCAGACCCTCTTATAAGTATTGTATTCGATTAAAGGAGTGGCTGTTTGTCCGGCTAGATTTTACGGCATTGGTTCTACAAGAGGGTCCGGATGGGGGTCCTAGTTTTCTTTATTTTCTTAAATTTTTTTACCATTTTTTTCTACAACTCTTTATCTTGTTTGACCATTATTCTATATTCTTCTTATTTTAACACCTAATTATTTTCTATTGATTTTTTTTTTTTTTTTTTGCCTAGTTTTCTCTATTATTTAATTTAGCTTTCCCTTTATTCTGTGCCATTTGTCCATTATTATGTAAACCCCATCTAGACCCTGTTACAAAGAAATCGTTTGCATGACCGGAAACTTATCATCGCTGTTTCTAACAAATTTGCTTTTTTACTAACAATTCTATAAATAGAACTTAAGTGTCACGTGATGATAACAAAATGGCAGCAGAAATAAGGCCATCACAGAATAAGCAAGGAAACACAAGAAAACCTGTCCTTATAAGTAAATTAGAAGGTTTTCAAGATGACGTCAACATGGCAGTTATAATCCCTCGGGAAGATGGAGTTGTCACTGTCAGCGATGATAAGTAAGCTGTGCTAAAAATTTGACAGGTGCCCGTTGTGTACATTGTTCATTATTGTCCCATCCAATCCGGAAGCTGTTGCTACCAGGTGCAAAGCATCGTCACCATTTACGCCTCCTGTTGAAAATCGAAATAAACTTGATGCTTTTACCTTGAATAACACTACTTAAACCCACCATGCTGTGTTCATTTTGTTTTAACAGGTCAGGAATAACCACCAATTGGTGGATTATACCTCAATTGACGTATAATCCACCAATTGACATATAATGGTATAGACCAATTGACGTATAATTCATTGTTTTTCCAAGCAAATTATTCAACCAAAACGGAGCATTGTTTTCTTAAAACCATATTATTGTATGAAAACATGTCAAACATTCCTAGTTTAGTATAGTGACCAGTCAGGGGTGCTACTTAAACAAGTGATTTCATCATCACTTATTTCAGTGATTTGATAAATTCAGTTATCACCTATTTAAGTGATTTTAGTGTTTTCTTTGATCTTCAAATGCTAATTTCATTGATTTTCCATATTTTCACAATCTTTTCTATAATTTTCCTACATAAATCAATTATCCCTTTTTCTTTGTATATTAATTTCACCAGTGCACTTGGGCAGTAAGTTAGTGCGCTAAAGCTTTTAAAAGTACCCTTGGGAATTTTTCTGTAATCAAAAATTCATTAACTACTCTTACTATCAGACAAAGATCAACAATATTAGGTAACCTGATTGGTTTTCTTTAGAGTTAGAATGATCTACTTCAAGGAATAATGACCTGATCTACAAACTATTCTAGTTTTTGCATATTTTGATAAAACTGTAAAAGTATCAGGCTTATCAAGCAAAAGACAATTTCTGCATATACATAGTTGTTTTTTCAATGGAATTGTTGTCTTTTTACCAATAAAAAAATCAAGCTTGTGGGAAAAATATCAAGAAAATGTTATAAACACTTATTAAAGTGATTACATTTTAACTTCTAAAATTACTTGTTTCAGTGATTTCAAAAAGTCTGTGTGAAAATTTTTAATATTTCACAGCCAAAATCACTCGAGGGAGTGATTCTGAAATCACTTGTTTAAGTAGTACCCCTGACTGGTAACATAACCTATTGCATTTAATCAATAATTGTATTTGAAGTTTCTTCTATTGTTATCTTGTCAATTCTTGATTGGCAAATTTACCACTAATCACCTGTGAATGGACATCAATACTGTCTGCAGTCATGTGATTATGAGTACAACTCCACAGGTGAATGGAGCTCTTTGTTAATACTTGACTTTCATTAATAAAAGTCAATCATGGTCAATAGTACACATGTTTCAACAACAGAATTGTTGTACACATGCATTCTCAAGAGATGCAGCAGGCTTTGACAAAACTGAAACTTTCGGAGGACTCAATAATGGTCATAAAATAGGTTGTAAGTTGCAAAATGATGCTTCTATCTCACACTAGCATTTTATAACAAAAAACTTGCACTATACGTCAATTGGTCTATACCAATATATGTCAATTGGTGGATTGTACGTCAATTGAGGTATAATCCACCAATTGGTGGTTATTCCTGACCTGTTTAATTAAAGTAAGGGGTGGGTTCTGTTTTCAAACTTATCATGCTTATTGGTTGTGTGTATGTCCTATACATGTCAAATTTATTGTATACACATGTATGACTCATAATTGTTCATTGTTCAGTGACATAATACGTTCTCCACAGGGTCCCTATTAATTATGAATTTCTCTTATGATTTATAAAGATGTTATAATAAAAATATCTAATGAAAAACATTAAGATATGACATAAGACAACCCTTGACAAAGTTCAGGACTGGGGATAGGCTCTAAATTAAACTAGTTTTTACAAAATCTCAACTATGCCTCCTTAATCTTGATCAGTAGATTAACAAAAGGTACATACAAGACTACAAGAAAATTGGTAAAGGAAACACGCTATTTAAACCAAGCAAAGTGAATTTTAAACATTGATCTTTTTAAGTCACTAAAGGAAGGTTGTGATTGCCAACAAAATTTGCTGTGCAACCTACTTTATAGCAAGAGGTCAAGAAGAGTATTTCACATAATTTGACATTGAACCTTTATGTTTTGAAGGTTTTGACATATTTTCTCTTTTTCCCAGATTATTTTCCATCGAGTACCTTATTGATTGAATTGAGATGGCTCTTACAATTAATAAAATGGAAGGAGCCGATTTTGATTTTTATACGACCGCAAAAATTAAAAATTTTTTGGTCGTATATTGGTATGACGTAGGCGTCGTCCTCGTCCGAAGACACATTGGTTTTCGCACTCTAACTTTAGTTTAAGTGAATGGATCTCCATGAAATTTTACCATAAGGTTCAATACCACAAAAGGAAGGTTGGGATTGATTTTGGGGGTTATGGTACCAACAGTTAAGGAATAAGGGGCCAAAAATAAGCATTTTTGTAACTTCCAGACATAACTTGTGTGTTAGTATATGGATCTCTCTGACATTGTACCACAAGGTTCCATATCACAAAGGGAATGCTGGGATTGATTTTGGGGGTAATTCCATTAAAATTTTAGGAATTAGGGGCCAAAAAAGGGGCAAAAAACAAGCATTTTTCTAGTTTCATGATAATAACTTGTGTGTAAGTGTATGGATCTTTCTGAAATTGAACTACAAGGTTCCATATCACAAAGGGAAAGCTGGAATTGAGCTTGGGGGTAATTGCCCAAAACGTTTAGGAATAAGGGGCCAAAAAGGGGCCAAAAATAGCATTTTTCTAGTTTCCAGACAATTACTTGTGTTCAAGTGTATGGATCTCTCTGAAATTGTACTGCAAGGTACCATACCACAAAGAGAAGGCTGGGATTGAGTTTGGGGGTGATGAATCATAAGGGGTTTCAAAAAATTGGGGGGGGGATTTTTTTTTCTTTCCTTTTTTTTTCTTTTTTTCCTTTTTTTTTCTTTTAAAATTTTCTATTTTAAGTTGGTTATTTCTGATTTATATTTAAAAGCAAATAATAATGATATGGTAGGAGATACATACCAAACAGGATGTGTAAATTATTATATAATAAGTATTGTGCAATAGCAAGAAATTTTCAATTGCACAGTATTGCACAATAGCAAGAAATCTTCCATTGCACAGTATTGCGCAATAGCAAGAAATCTTCAATTGCACAGTATTGCACAATAGCAAGAAATATCCAATAGCACAATATTGCGCAATAGCAAGAAATTGTCAATTGTACAGTATTGCGCAATAGCAAGAAATATTCAATTGCACAGTATTGTGCAAAAGAAGATACTTCGAAAAATTGCTTATTTCTTGACCAATTTCAATGGGGTTTTATTCTTGAATTCTTTGGGTTCTTTAATATGCTGAATCTAACCGTGTATTTAGTTTTTGGATTTGGGGCCCCGTTTTTAAATTGGTCCACATTGAGGTCCAAAGGGTCCAAAATTAAACTTTGTTTGATTTCATCAAAAATTGAATTATTGGGGTTCTTTGATATCCCGAATCTAACCGTGTATTTAGATTCTTAATTTTTGGTTCCGTTTTCAAATTGGTCTACATTAAGGTCCAAAGGGTCCAAAATTAAACTTAGTTTGATTTTAACAAAAATTGAATTCATAGGGTTCTTTGATATGCTGAATCTAAACATGTATTTTAATTTTTGATTATGGGCCCAGTTTTCAAGTTGGTCCAAATCGGGGTCCAAAATTAAACTTTGTTTGATTTCAACAAAAATTGAATATATGGGGTTCTTTGATATGCTGAATCTAACCATGTATTTAGATTTTTGATTTTTGGGCCCCGTTATCAACTTTGTCCACATTGAGGTCAAAAGGGTCCTAAATTAAACTTTGTTTGATTTCATCAAAAATTGAATTCTTGGGGTTCTTTGATATGCTGAATCTAACCATGTATTTAGATTTTGGATATTGGACCATAATAGGTGAAATTTAAAAATTTTAAGTTCTTAGACCACATTCATTCTGTGTCAGTAACCTATGCTGTGTCAAATATTTAATCACAATCCAAATTCAGAGCTGTATCAATCTTGAATGTTGTGTCCATACTTGCTCCAACTGTTCAGGGTTCGACCTCTGCGGTCGTATCAAGCTGCGCCCTGCGGAGCATTTTATTTGTTTTAATTTTAATCTTGATGGAGTTTTCCTACAAAGCAAGTGTTAGTAAAAACAGTTATATAATGGGGCTCATAGGGACCCAAAATAAAATGTATCATTAGGTTAGAATCAGTTTTGTTCTGACTAGATGAGTTTCTATGCCGCCACCGTAGCTGAGGAGGCATTAAGTTTTACCCTTGTCCGTATGTCCGTTCAATAACTAGTTTGCCTCAGCCAAATGTTATGAAACTTATACACAATGCTTATTACCTTAAAACACAGATCAAGTTTGAATTTTGGTGGCATCACTTTTACCGTTCTAGAGTTATGCCCCTTTACAAATGGAAAAATTGCTGAATTTTTCGTTTCCGTTCTCTTACTTAAGTTTGCCTCAACCAAATGTTATGAAACTTATACACAATGCTTATTACCACGAAACACAGATCAAGTTTGAATTTTAGTGGCGTCAATTAAACCATTCTAGAGTTATGCCCTTTATAAATGGAAAAATTGCAAAATTTTTAGTTTCTTCTAAATATCAAGTAATTTTTAAAATTGGAGTTATCTTCCTTTGTCCATGATTATAGTAGAATCAACTACAATCAATGCTTTATACAATGCAATGTTTAATTTTGCCTTCCACTGATAAAACACAGATCAAGTTGAATTTGGGTAGTGTCACTTTAACCATTATTGAGTTATGCCCCTTTATAAAACGAAAGATTGCAAAATTTTTAGTTTCTATTCTGTAACTTAAGTTTGCCCCAACCAAACATTATGAAACCTATACACAATATTCATTACCACAAAACTAAGATCAAGTACAAATTTTTTGTTTCCGTTTTCTAACTTTAGTTTGCCTCAACCAAATGTTATGAAACTTATACACAATGCTTATTACTACATAATATAGATTAAGTACGAAATTTGGTGGCGACACTTTTACCATTCTTGAGTTATGTCCCTTTATAAACATAAAAATTGCTGAAAATTGTTTCCGTTCTCTAACTTTAGTTTGTCTCAACCAAATGTTATAAAACTTATACACAACCGTTCTAGAGTTATGCGTGTTTACAAATAGAAAAATTGCTGAATTTTTAGTTTCTGTTCTCTACTTAAGTTAGCCTCAACCAAATGTTATAAGACTTACACACAATGCTTATTACCACAAAACTCAGATCAAGTTCAGATTTGGGTAGCGTCACTTTTACCGTTCTTCAGTTATGTCCCTTTATAACTATATGATATGCAAGCGGGGGCATCATCTGTGTCCACATGTGGACACTATCCACATTTATTTTCTTTTGGTTCAATGAAAAAAAAAAGATACATATTAATAAAAATATATATGGGTATACGTCATAGTCAATGAGACATTTAGAGGGTAATCTTAACTGGTAATGATAATTTTGTCTTTAAAATTATATCTTCAGGACATTAAGAGTATGGTTAAAAAGAGATACAGGACAGTATTGGCCAAGTATTTGTCACACATTGCCATGTAAGTTGTATAACATAAGTTATTTGTCACATATTGCCTTGTAAGTTGTATTACATAAGTTATTTGTCACATTGTAGTACATTACATGTAGATATGAGTGTTTCTTCACTGGCTTCAGAGGGGCCTCTGTGGCCGAGTGGTCTAAGTAGTTACTACTGTAATCACTAGCCAGTCAACACTGAGGTTGTGAGTTCGAACCCCGCTCGTGCAGTTGCACTCGACTCCAATCTTAATTGACTAGGATTGTCAGTTTTCCTATCGAAGGTCAGTGGTTTTCTCCGGGCACTCCAGCTTCCTCCACCAATAAAAACTGGCCGCCACGAAATAGCCCAAAAGCGGTGCTTAAAAGTGGCGTTAAAACACCAAAAATCAAAAATGAAATCACTGGCTTCAGGATTAAAGAAATTTATTAAACATTGTGACATTATTAACTGATCCTTAACACTGTTTAAAACTCTTGTAATAGAACATGCACAACTGATTGTTCAATTTTTTTAAACATCAAAATTATTGTAGTTTTCAGATTTGACTGGCTTCAACACTGGATAAATTTTAAATACCTAACAATGTATCTAGATCTCTTCCACATTCAGTAGTTAATTCCTCATCTACAATAAAGGTTTTGTTTAACTCAAATATATATATGCAACAGAGAAACAATGTTGAAAGACCATGTGGTGATTGGTAGATGTTTGACTTTGATTATTTATTCCATAACTCTTGTTGTTTAATTTGAGTGGGTAAAGTTAAAGCCTAAAATCTATAGTATGAGTTTTCCTTTTTTGAAAAAATGAGCAGTTACAATGTACGCTGATAGGAAAACAGTTTTAAAACTGTTTTCAAATATTGGCATTAAAGAAAGAACTTGTGATGAATTTTTTAGGTAAGTTAAGGCTCATCATTTTCAAAATCAAGACATGTTGTGAGCATGTTTGTATACATTTAATAATCAGTGAAAGGATATAGAGTCAGGTTTCTCACTAAGGCAAGTCCATGAGTCCTGGACTCATGAAAATCTGTCTGGACTCATCATTTTCAAAACTGGTGAGTCCAAAGATGCATAAAAATTGCAAAATGTTGTATCAGCTGAGCACAAATATCACCATTCTATGACAAAAGTTTAAAAATAATCTAAACTTAATGCCATTTCCTTGCTCTATTTTGTCATGGGGAATGAAATAATAAATGATGTTATCATGTAGCAACAGAATTTCATCTTATCACTGTTTGATTTACCATGGTCAAAAATGGCTAGTCCCTAGACCTTCAAAAATCCTTAATGAGAACATTGATAGTAGATTTAAATAATTGGAACTCAACCAATGAAAACTTGTTATTTACATAAGATATTATAATTGTAACAGCTGAGGCAGCATCATTAACATACAATGGAGAAACAAGAAGACTATTTGTTGGATTAAATAATGGAACCATTTCAGTAAGTACATGTATCAGAATATCATACAATGTAATTTTGGTAGCTTAAAGTATCTTTATAAGATAGCATGAGTAACAAATACATGTACATGATCTCCTAATTAATCCTAACAAATATCTTTACATCCCAATGTTCTATGAAATTGAGAATGGAAATGGGGAATATGTCAAAGAGACAACAACGCGACCAAAGAGCACACAACAGCTGAAGGCCACCAATGGGTCTTCAACGCAGCGAGAAAATCCCGCACCCGGAGGTGGTCCTCAGCTGGCCCCTCAATAAAATTGTGTTTGACATGTTTTCCCCTGAATTACCCCAGGTCAAACAGGGCAGTTCATTCATAGAAAAGAAACTTTTTTTATTTTTACATATCAATTAAAATTATGACCCTGGAGTACCAACATGATTATTATAATACAGCTGCTTTATTATTTTTTTTTTCTACTTTTGATATAGACGTAGAATGATATTCATATGATACTAACACATGCATGTATTTACCTGAAATAGGTAATGTCCCAATCCAATCGTAAACTGTTATGTTAGGAGCACTTTTACTAATTTCTCCCATAGCTCAAGTTTGAGTAAGTAGGAAAATGTATCACAGGGAAATTCTCCCATCCCTTAAAGTCTTTTGTTCTATATCAAATGAACTCTTTATGTTTTGACATTGAATTGAGACAGAAAATAATTGCAAATCATCATTTGGCACTAGTAAACATATGTGTGTATATTAAAAGAATTGGAATGAAATACATTTATTTTATTTTCAGGAATTCCTTTTATCGGAAGACTATAATAAAATTACACAAATGAGAGATTATCTAGGTAACTATGATAGAATTCTTTATTTGCAAATGGTCTTGACAAAAAGTGGAAAAAAGCATTTCATTCACCACAGTAGAAGTGAACAATTCCAACCATTCATGCACATCCAAAAGAGTAAAGAACTATATAAACACACAACATTTATTAAGGACTTAACCACAATTTGAAAAAAGCACGTAAATTATGTACTTCCCTGTCAAGAGTTATTGATCCTCATTATTTATTATATACTTAGTGGTAAATCGTGCTGTATCAGCCACCCGTGATGATATCGATATCAGCATGGTTGCAAAGGCTTTATCACACCTTTAATCTGTATGACGTCACGTCATCGATTGCAGTCACTGTTGCAAAGGCTTTATCAAACCCCTAATCTGTATGACGTCATGTCAAACCTATAATCTGTATGACGTCATTTCAAATCTCCTTACCTGTATGACGTCATGTCACATAAAAAACATCTACGTGAGGTATATGTATATAATAAAGTGTATATGATATGGCTTTTTCAATATCACACACTGTATCAACCCTCAACCAATATAATCCCTCGAGCAGAGCTCTTTGGATTATATTGGTGTCTCGGGTTGATACGGGTGTGATATTGAAAAAGCCATATGATATTCTCTATTTATTGACAGAATTTTAGTAGTGGAAATAATGTTGATTAAAATGAAATATCTAATTTAATCTTCCACATACCATTATCACAATTAGAAGAATGATAAAATTAAAGTCGTTTATATAAAAACTGTTTGTATAAAAGTAAGAACACATCATATCAGTATGATAGCAGGAACCAAAGTGAGAACCCAAAGAAAAGTTGATGCAAATAAGTTCAAGAAGCCTTATTTATCAAGTCTTTTTCTATTTTTAACATTGGCTTATTTTCAGCACATCAAGCAAGAGTAAATTGTGTAAAATTTTCTCTAAACTGTGAATGGGTGCTTAGTTGTAGCCGAGATAAATATTTCCAATGGCATTGTTCCGAGACTGGTAGACGATTAGGTGGATACCAAGTATCAGCATGGTGCCTTTGTGTAGAGTATCCTTTGTAAAATTCTAAGTTTAAAAGTTTAAAGTATTGGTTCAACTAGAAATTTGTTTGACAACTTTTTTGTAATTATTACAGACCCTTATAGTATTTTAACATTGGTCCTAGAAATGTAATTGATATTTAAATACATGAAATGTTAACATTGACGATTATAATAAAACAGATCTAGATCAGAGAGTTAACCCAAAGAAAACATGAAGGATGTATATCTAAAAACTAGGCAATATCATACTTCAAGCTTGTTGTATATATATATATATAGATATTCAACAGTGATTACAGAGCAAATTTACATCAGACCTAGGAGTTTTTTCTTACACTTTGACTGATCAGATTTTCTTGTTGAAATCCAAGCTAAGTAGACTTGTGTATAAGATGTTAATTCATTCCAGAAAAAAGGAAAAAGCATATCAATGGCAAAGTTATAAAAAAGAACAACTACAGTCATCACTAAATTTTTTCCCACATTGGTCATAAGTGTTCACAATATGTCGGAATTTCACAGATCTTAAATATCATTTATCAAAAATTCCTTAACAAATATTACAGATTCGATGAACAATCAAAATATGCGTTTGTTGGAGATTATTCTGGGCAGATATCAGTGTTAAAAATTTCTAATTCCAATTTTGATTTAATAGTGACATTAAAGGGACATTCAGGTATGTTAAATATTCATTTCATTCAACTAACAGTATAACATAGCAATAATCATAATCATTCATAAACTATACTGTTGAAATATATTTGTATGTAAAAAAATGTTTCTTTTTTTATGCCCCAACCGCTAGGCGAAGGGGGCATTAAGTGTTACCCTTGACCGTTTGTCCTTCTGTCTTTCCATCCTTCCATTTTTACCTTCGTTCCATTTTGGTTTGAAAAGCAAGCTTGAGCGGGAGCATTTGTGTATTCAGACACATTCTTCTTTTATTGTGCCCCACGAACGCGTTGTGGGGGACATAGAAATACCGGTGTCCGTCTGTTTGTCCGTCCAGTCTTGTTAGCACTCTCACGTGTACAGTTCTTGTCAGATTTTTATGAAACTTATATCATATGTTTACTTCAGCAATGTCTTGGACGAGTTCGAAAATCAGTGCCTATCAATTATTTTTAAAAGAGTTATGCCCCTTGGAAACATTAAGTATATGGAAAATTGCATCGTTAGTGCTCTCATGTGTACAATTCTTAACAAATTTTAATAAAACTTATATCATAGGTTTATATCAGCAATGTCTTGGAAGAGTTCGAAAATCACTGCCGATCAATTATTTTTAAAAGAGTTATGCTCCTTGGAAATATTGATTATATGGAAAATTGCAATATTAGCGCTCTCATGTGTACAATTCTTGCCAGAATTTTATGAAACTTATATCATAGGTTTATATCAGCAATGTCTTTGATGAGGTTGAAAATCAGCGCAGATAGATTATTTTTAAAAGAGTTATGCCCTTAGAAATATTAATTATATGGAAAATTGCCTGATGAGTGCTCTGTGTATAATTCTTGCCTGATTTTGATGAAATTTATATTACAGGTTTATATCATCAATGTCTCAGACAAATTAATAATCAGTGCTGATCAATTATTTTTAAAAGAGTTATGTCCCTTGGATATATTGATTATATGGAAAATTGCATTGTTAGTGCTCTCATGTGTACAATTCTTGCCAGAATTTTATGAAACTTATATCATAAGTTTATATCAGCAATTTCTTTGACACTTTTGAAAATCAGTGCTGATAAAATATTTTTAAGGAGTTATGCCCCTTGGAAAAATTAATTATAACGGAAATCGCATTGCATTTGCTCTGAAGCCTTCATTTCTCTAAGATATTTATTAATTGTTTTTAAGAACAAAAAAAAAGTGTTTTATTTAGTTATTGCCCTTGTACCTTGGATAGATAAAATATGTGCAATGCGGGGGACATTGGAACTCTGTTCTTTTATTTTTAATTACAATGTCCATAAATGTAGTTTTTTTTTTTAAAGTTTATTTGTTAGTCTGATACATGTATATTAAATTAATAAGTGGTCAGTTTATATGTATTCTGAACTGATATATCAAGTGCAGGAGGGGTATTTGCATAAAATAACAGTCAAAAGAAAGTAAAGTTGCTAGACTTACTTATTTATGGTGAAATTATAGATTTTAAATAATATATATATATAAATAATTAGGATTTTTTGGAGCACAGTTAGTAACTAAGATAAAGGTCTGTGTGAAGGTTGAAATCTATGAATATGTAGGAAATACATACTTTTGACAATGTGTATAGCAATGTTTATTTATATAAAATTATTATGCTTTTTAAACCCATACCTCCATTTCACAAATAAATGGCTTTAGTGAAATTAAAGTATGATCCATATCTAAAAAAATAATAGTGAAAAGATGATTTTTTTCATGGACATATATGTATTTTTTGTGGTGGTGGTGGTAATAATAGTATTGTACAAGAACTAGGCTCCTTACACCTGAATGATTGTTCGTAGTAAACTTTTTTGTCAAATTAAAAATAAAGCAACTCCTTTTTACAGTCCGCTTATGTTGGATTGCATTTTTTTCCATTTTCATTTTAGACGGTAAAAATGGTTTAAAGTTCTCTTTCAAACCTTCTAGTTAGTTTATTAGATACAGTAGTGCAACTTCAATGGGAATTGAGATTGTCCTCTGTGATTGATTAAATGCTTTTTTTATAGGATTTAGAAACCAGGGCTTTTTAACAATTAAAAAAGCAACAATTTTCTGTATCATTTATAAAAAAAAAGTTGTTTACTGTTTTTGGCCTAACATATGAATTTTTTAAACCTATATACAGGTAGTGTGAGGAGTTTAGCATGGGACATCAATAGGAGCTGGTTATTCTCTGGAAGTTTTGATCAGTCTGCTATAGTATGGGATATAGGGGGAAGGAAAGGGACAGCTTTTGAATTACAAGGTCATAGGTAGGTTTATTGTTCTGGCTATAGGCATGATGAAACTGTATACATATATAAGTATATTTTTGAATTGTACTTACAAATGAAGTGATATGCACATTACATTAAATTGTCTTCAACAATGGACAAGCACCCATATTTATAGCAAGTTCCAAACCATCCCTGATATTTAGAGATGTGACAATTTAAGTGACAAAGATCAAATATTAAAACCAAATTCTTTGTAGGCTAAAAACATAAGATACGATAACAACCAATGACGAGCCTGGCTTTGAGATAAAGAACAGAAATTAAAACGCTGTTCCTTGGCTTTTTGTGTGTTTTTTGCTGTGCATGTACTGATTTTGTGTCATGGATGGATACCTCATATCCTTTGTTTTTCTATTATATACACTTGAAATGGTCAAAATTCTTTTTTGTGTATTCAACCCTATCAATACCAAATGATAAAGTTACAAACACATACTCAAAACAAAGCCAGAAATAGCTTTTAAAATTCAATAATCTTAGATATACTGAAAGAAAACTGATGTGTAGTCTATTGTAAATATTGACCTAGATTTGTAGCATATTCAAATTTAGTTTTTTCACAATTTTGATGAAATTACTAGTACGGGTAGAACAATAGAGTGATTTTAATTTAACCCAATGGTTCTACATTGTTATGTCATTAGATGGGTACAGTTGTATTGCATTGATATAGTTGATAGTTGAATCTTATGATATGAGGACTTTGTTTAAAAGAAAACACTTCATGTTTCAGCAAATCTGTATGTATATTTGTTTATTTTAGGGATAAAGTATTAGGTTTGGCATATGCAGCTGGCTGTAAACAGTTACTGACTGGTTCAGAGGACTGTATTTTAGGGATATGGAATATGGAAGCTGACAGACAAGAGGTCAGTTTCATTATGCATACAAAAAAGATGACAAGCTTTTCATGAACCTAACATCATCTGTTAAAAAGTCATTGTCATTTTTATTTTGAACAATAAATAGTCTTAAGAATTGCTAAGGTATTACTAGAGTAAATGTAAAGTAATGATAGAAAGATAGAAAATAAAGGTCTCCTTTTGTTTGGATGAGAAGCAACAGTTATTGTCTTTTATGCACATTTTGTAATTTTGTTTACCTTATAGCAAATTTTTTTTTCGCTTTCAGACTCCAGGATGGGAAGAAAGTGATATTTGTCAAAAATGTGAAGCACCATTCTTCTGGAATGTTAGAAAAATTTGGGAGAGTAAGACAATGGGTGTACGACAGGTAGGATAATAGATTTAACAATACTTATAGAATGAATAGAAGGCTTTGCAGAAGTTATCAAGATTGTTCGCTATCAGCCTTCTCAAATGATTTAAAATGAACACCTCTGCTAGTGCTTTTTGGTCTATGACCAGTGAATTTGTAATATTTTAGAGTCATATCTAGACCAAGTCACAACTATGCCAGTCGATTGCCAATTGTTCCATTAAAGAACATGCCCAACCTATGGTAGTACATTCTAAGGTTAAGGTTTTTGGTTTAGGTAGTTTACTGTGAAGTTGTGGTCACATCTCCTTGAAAACTTTTTCATTGTTAGGCAAACTTTTTAGATTTTAGGCCAAATTAAGATTTTGACCCAGATTTTACCGTTCACATGAAAGTTTGAGCGGGCATGGTGTCCTATGGATACATATTCCTGTTTTCCTTAAAGGGATCATTATATATTGGCAATGAATTGTTATATTTACTATGGAGCTGAGTACCTTTATTTCTTCCTATTCTACATAATATGTGACAAATTGGTTAAGAATACATTAATAAAATGGAAACATTTGTAAAAAATGTTGTTTTTCTATTTCAGCATCATTGTAGAAAATGTGGCAAAGCAGTGTGTAATAAATGTAGCGAAAAGAAATCCAAACTACCAATTTTAGGTTTTGAGTATGATGTACGGGTATGTGAAGAATGTTATGCCAGCATATCACCAGAAGAGTAAGTCATTGTAGGATTTATATTGGTCAGTGAATAGTTCTCATATAGAAACATTTCTCACCATCATGACTGGTATCAATGAATGCTCATGGATGTTTAGGGATACTTGTGCAAAATATATTTAAATGAATGATATTTTATTTTTTTTTAGTCTTACAATGAAAATTAACTGTTTGAAATTTTAATGAATCCAAACATAGAATACATTTAGCTAATTTAGGACTTGTTTAGTTGTGTTGCCAGTCATATTTGATACACACAAAAACAGATGTTATCATGTGCAATCTCCTGACCAAAATACAATTTAATTTCTCCCCCAATTTGACAAACGTGATTGTTAAAATTCCCTGACCAGTAAATAACAAAAGTTTGGTCATTATACGCTAAGAGTGTAGGCTATATTGCAATCAACTTGTTCCTCCATTCGTTGAAAAAATGTTTTTGTCAAACTGTTTTCAGGAATTACTGAACAGAATTACTTCCATATCTATTCAGCTGCTTGTCACTGATGTGCTGCAAGGTTTAAGCTCTTATGGAATCTGTCAGTCATCTGTCTCTTGTTAGCCATTTCTTTGAATTTTTCAATGAACAAATGTCTTTGTCACAGTTTTCCCGGGAACTACTGAACATAATTACTTTATTTTTGGTCAGCAATAGCTATATACAAATATATGTATCATATTTTAGAATGGGAGCTTTTATTATTGCTATACTCAAGGAATCGCATTATTCACATTAATAAAATACTCACAATAATTTCTGAATTTACAGTATTGATAAAGATGACTGTATCTTACAGGAAAGCTCCACTAGCAACATTTCATGACATGAAGCATCCTATACAGTATATGTTCTTAGAGGAAACAAGGAAAAGACTTCTTACTGTAGGAAAGGATAGGGTTGTCAAGGTAAGTTATCTAGGAAATGTTGTGATTGATTGATTGAAAAGGTTTATACCAGTAATGTTTGGGGTAAGTTTAATAATAAAACATTGCATTGTTAGCGCACTCTCATGTCTTCAATTCTTGTCAGATTTTTATGAAACTTATATCATAGGTTTATATCAGCAATGTCTTAGACGAGTTCAAAAATAAGGGCAGAATAATTATTTTTTAAAAGAGTTATGCCCCTTGGAAACATCAATTATATGGAAAGTTGCTTCATTAGCGCTCTCCTGTGTTTAATTCTTGCCAGATTTTTATGAAACTTATATCATAGGTTTATATCAGCAATGTCTTGGACGAGTTTGAAAATCAGTGCCGATTAATTATTTTTAAAAGAGTTATGCCCCTTGGAAACATTAAATATATGGAAAATTGCCTTATGAGTGCTCTAATACTTACAATTCTTACCAGATTTTTGTGAAATTTATATAATAGGTTTATATCATCAATGTCTTTGACGAGTTCAAAAATCAGTGCTGATCAATTATTCTTAAAAGAGTTATGCCCCTTGGAAATATTAATTATAATGGAAATCACATTGGATTTGCTCTGAAGCCTTCTTTTCTCTTAAGATATTAATAAAAAGTTTTAAAGAACAAAAAAAAGTTCTTTTTGTTGGTATTGCCCTTGTACCTTGGATAGATAAAATATGTGCAATGTGTGGGACATTGGAACTCTGTTCTTTTATTTTTGACAGGAGTTATGGCTCTTTGAATTGTTATTTATATTGAACATTGAATTGTTAGCACTCTCTGGTAGAATTATTATGAAATTTATATGAAAGGCTCATATTAGCAATGTCTTCGAAATGTCCAGACCAACTAATTTTACAGGAGTTATGCCTGTTAGAAATAAAAAGTATATGGAAAATAACATTGTTAGCAATCTCATACCTACATTTCTTATAAGATATCTATTTAAAAGTTTAAAGATAAAAAAAAAGTTTTTTGAAGATATTGCCCTCAGACAGATAAAATATGTAAAAAGCACAGGACATTGGATGATGATGATGGATGGCTGCTAAATGTCCAGCGGCAAATTGATATGCATATTCAGGACTAGAACATGTTAATGTAATATGAATATTAATCCTGCTTTGTACTAGACCAACACGCTGAGCCACATTTTTAACATGCTAGTTCACAAGGTAACAGTCTGCAGGAAGACATGTCACCTTACCTGGACACATTATTCTGACTCCGAGCCGACCAGTCTTTGCTGTTACTCCTCAATGCCGCATGCTTAGCGGAGAAGCAGCAAATACTAATTTTAAAGTCTTCTGTTTGACTCTCGCACTTGAGTCAAACACGAGACCACAGAGGCGATCAGGACATTGGAGTACTGTTCTTGAATTGAAAATGGCTGAGTTGGATACATTTTTATAGTTACATAAATTTCAACTTTAGTTTAAGTGAATGGATCTCTATGAAATTTTACCACAAGGTTCAATACCACAAAAGGAAGGTTGGGATTGATTTTGGGGGTTATGGTACCAACAGTAAAGGAATTAGGGGCCAAAAATAAGCATTTTTGTAACTTCCAGATATAACTTGTGTGTTAGTGTATGGATCTCTCTGACATTGTACCACAAGGTTCCATATCACAAAAGGAATGCTGGGATTGATTTTGGGGGTAATTGCCTCAAAATTTTAGGAATTAGGGGCCAAAAAGGGGCAAAAAACAATCTAGTTTCAGGACAATAACTTGTGTGTAAGTGTATGGATCTATCTGAAATTGTACTCCAAGGTTCCACATCACAAAGGGAAAGCTGGGTTTGAGTTTGGGGGTAATTGCCCTAAACGTTTAGGAATTTGGGGCCAAAAAACACATTTTTCTAGTTTCCAGACAATAACTTGTGTTCAAGTGTATGGATCTCTGTGAAATTGTACTGCAAGGTACCATACCACAAAGGGAGGGCTGGGATTGAGTTTGGGGGTGATGAATCATAAGGGGGTTCAAAAAATTGGGGGGGGGGGGGGGGGTTTTCCTTTTTTTTCTATTTTTCCTTTTTTTTTCTTTTAAAATTTTCCATTTTAAGTTGGTTATTTCTGATTTATATTTAAAGGCAAATAATAATGATATGGTAGGAGATACACACCAAACAGGATGTGTAAATTATTATATAATAAGTATTGTGCAATAGCAAGAAATTTTCAATTGCACAGTATTGTACAATAGCAAGAAATCTTCAATTGCACAGTATTGCGCAATAGCAAGAAATCTTCAGTTGCACAGTATTGTGCAATAGCAAGAAATATCCAATAGCACAATATTGCGCAATAGCAAGAAATTGTCAATTGTACAGTATTGCGCAATAGCAAGAAATATTTAATTGCACAGTATTGTGCAAAAGAAGATACTTCGTATAAATTGCTTATTTCTTGACCAATTTCAATGGGGTTTTATTCTTGAATTCTTGGGGTTCTTTAATATGCTGAATCTAACCGTGTATTTAGTTTTTGGATTTTGGGCCCCGTTTTTAAATTGGTCCACATTGAGGTCCAAAGGGTCCAAAATTAAACTTTGTTTGATTTCATCAAAAATTGAATTATTGGGGTTCTTTGATATGCCGAATCTAACCGTGTATTTAGATTCTTAATTTTTGGTTCCGTTTTCAAATTGGTCTACATTAAGGTCCAAAGGGTCCAAAATTAAACTTAGTTTGATTTTATCAAAAATTGAATTCTTAGGGTTCTTTGATATGCTGAATCTAAACATGTATTTAGATTTTTGATTATGGGCCCAGTTTTCAAGTTGGTCCAAATCGGGGTCCAAAATTAAACTTTGTTTGATTTCAACAAAAATTGAATATATGGGGTTCTTTGATATGCTGAATCTAACCATGTATTTAGATTTTTGATTTTTGGGCCCCATTATCAACTTTGTCCACATTGAGGTCCAAAGGGTCCAAAATTAAACTTTGTTTGATTTCATCAAAAATTGAATTCTTGGGGTTCTTTGATATGCTGAATCTAACCATGTATTTAGATTTTGGATATTGGACCATAATAGGTGAATGCCCAATTTAAAATTTTTAAGTTCTAAGACCACATTCATTCTGTGTCAGAAACCTATGCTGTGTCAAATATTTAATCACAATCCAAATGCAAAGCTGTATCAAGCTTGAATGTTGTGTCCATACTTGCCCCAACTGTTCAGGGTTCGACCTCTGGGGTCGTATCAAGCTGCGCCTTGCGGAGCATTTTATTTAAATTCATAAGAATCACTTGACCCTAAACAATTATCTAAAATCTTTGAAAACTAATATAATAGGATGACAAGATTTTTGCACATCATGAACATTGTAAATAATACTTCTGAAACTTAAAAATCTAATAGTCAAATCATTTGATTAAAGGTGAAGCTATGATAAGGTCACTGTCTGAATTACAAGTACAATATATTCAAAGATCACTTATTTTTCTTTTTACAGATATGGGATGTTAGTCAAGTTCTGCATTGAAGATTGCTGTATTAGAAAGTAGAAACAAACACAGAACAAAAACCTTATTTTGACGTAATCATGTGACAGTGACTTAGGGTCATGTGACTTAAACCAATATCTGTAAACATACAACAGATAATAAAACCCTCCATATATAAATGCTGAGGGACAATCATTTTATTTTGCTGGAAATCCTCTTTATAAAAACAACCATACAACTGCTGAGAGTTTTGTAAGAGTTGACAGCTGAAACTAATTATTTGTTAACTCATTTTCTTGCAAAGAAATAATTTATAACCCCTGCTGTAAAAAAATCACACACACTAGATCAGATAAACATCATAAGTATATTAAGATGTGATCTTTGTGCTTCAGAAATAGGAAAAATGCCACAGCATGAATATTGCATAGAAAAGAACATGTATTTTAATTTTCACTATTAAATTTTCATTAAAATTCTTCTGCCATCAGACTAGATAAAATTTGCATTATTAGCAATTGTCAGTGATCACTTAATAAATGCATCTATTAATTTGTACCGGTATATTAACAGAAGCAGTCCAAATATTTTGTTTTTTTTTATTTTGAATATAAAGATTTGCTCATTTTGACATTGAACCTCTTATGAATAAATAATCTTATATGCTTTGAAACCCTTAAATCTGTGTTTAATTTTAAAGATTAGACCAAAGTAGTGGGACCAATTCATTTGTTTTTTAGCTTTATCTAGATGATTAAGATGAGATAAAATGAGTAGAAAATATTAGTCTAGAAATAATAAGGTACACATTTTTGATAATTACAGAAAAGATGGATGAAAATTATTGAATACTAAATATATCTTCTCTATCAAACCCTTAGACACTGGATTTTTAAAATTTTGAATTCTGGAAAATAGAAATTACCTTAACTGTTGATATAAAGAAAAACTACATAGTGTATATAAACAAAGGATAATTCCAAAATTAATCTGAAAAAATTAAGGATATTTCAAATTTTTTATAAATTATGCTAACAAAAACTTAAAATAATACAAAGTTAGAGGTAAGGGCTGTTCCAAAATTTACCTCATGGGGGATGGGAGGCACTCAGACTAATAAAATATTGGTAGTTGATTGATGTCCTTAAAAGGTGCCACCGTGCATTAAATTCTTGAACAGCCATAACCAAAAACAAAATTATGAGAATGCAAACTATTATACAAAAATTCAGATATTGCAAACTCTGTGAACGTATATTACCAAAACTTTTATGGTATCTCAATTTTGTATGGTCTTATAAATTTCTTACATTTTGATTTTGCTTGTAACACAGTCACTTCAGTATAAATCCAGTCTAAATTCAAAGTAGATAATGTTCTAGTAAATCAGACTTGTCCTGGAGGGTATAAGACATTTTGCTAAAATTGGTATATATATAGTTTATTCTCAAAAGATCTATTTTTAGTATAGGTAGAATTGATACAAGTTAAAAATCCAGGAATTAATCTAGTCATGTTGTATAAAATCACCATTTCAGAATCTAAAGCATTCTGGGTATTATTTTCAAAGGCATACACTAAAAAGTTGTAATCGGCTAACAATTTCAGAAATAATGGATATATTCATCAAATATTTTTTTTTGTTCTGTTGGAAAAGTGAAATTACCCATAGTGCTTTAGAGTTTGAAAAGGTAATTTTTATGAATAATGTAGATTCATCATTATTGAGTAGATATTTTAGAATTTCAAAGCTTTATTTTACTCTTTCATTTGAAACTGATAGTAATTTGTATTAGTGAATGTACTTATTATTTAAACATTATTTTGTTTCATGTAAGAATCTTAAAAGGATTCTTTGCTTTGAATTTTAAGTGCTTGCTTTTTGGTGCACTTTAGTTTCAATATTACTTACAAAAAATAGGTATGAGATTACTGATTTTATTAATAATAATTCATTATTTTTGCTTTCATACTCTGTAAATAGATAAAAATGTGGGACAATATTAGATAAAAGTGTCATGTGTGCCATTGTTGAGATGAGATTTAAGTATGAAAGCTAATGTGAAAAACTTTTATTGAAATGTTTACCTTATTCAACCACATAAAGTGTCGTCTGCAAATATTTTTAAAGATAAGTTTCATTCGCACCTGAACCATGGGATGCAAAATATATTTTTGTCAAGCTTTTACTTAGGTTACAAAGTTTTGTGAACATGTTTTTTTATCTGCTTACATTTGTTTTATTTTGTCTATATAAAACATATTCAGGATAAAGTATAATATTTGATTAATTATGACACAAAACTAAAATGTGATTAAAAGGTGAATTTGTATTCCAATGAATAATGTCTGAGGTATGTTGTAATTTAAAAAAGAAAATTTTCTTTTATGAGCGAACTTCAAATTTTCTGTTCAATACTATAAATTCAGATTTTTTTTATGATTTAAGGAAACACTGTATACAACTAGTGCAATCAAAATGATAAGTGATAATAATTATTATTTTTGCTAAACCTATGCTGTTGGAATAATAAAAAACATCAATAAAGTTTCTGAATTTATAGTATTTTAATGTGTTAAATGCCAAATCTGAAAGGAAGATCCTTTATGAAGGTTTTATTGTAAATTACATATTGTAAAGTTATGTAATGTTTGCTTTGCTGCCTTTTGTCTATTTATCTGTGATATGTGTATTATTCAGTGTAAAAACTATGTAATATAAATGTGTTCTCAAGCTTCAGAACTATTATTGTACTAAAACCACAGTATTGAATCATTCTATAATTCATCAAACTTTATATTAAATTGCTGATTGATATTGCAAGGAATTCATTCATTATGTGTTGTTTCGGTGAATATATATGTAAGCCTCAAATCTATGTCCAGCCTCAAATCTATGTCCTTTCCGCAAATCTATGTCCTTTTTAATATTGCGTCATTGACGTTCCAAATCTATGTCCTTTATTGTCTCAAATCTATGTCTTTTATTGTCTCAAATCTATGGCCATTTTTGTCTCAAATCTATGTCCTTTATTAACTGAAATTTATGGCCATTTTTGTCTCAAATCTATGTCCTTTATCGAAATGTGGTGACGTAATACATAGCAAGACTTAATCAAGTAAAAAAAAAATATGTGTAGTTTCATTCTTGAAGGCACATTAATAAAGTAACATGTATGCACGTTATGCCATTAATTTGTACACTGAATTATGTTGTGGTTGTTAAATGTTGATAACATGGTACACAATGGATTTTAAAAAATACATAGATTCGAAACCGGAATAGTTTCACCAGAAAAAAACTTTTTTTGATAAGATAGTGGCACAAAATGTCGTTGTTAAAACGGCAATAAATACCCTAAACATTTTTATGTGGTACCTATACATTGAAACATTGAACAAAAAGTTTGTAAATAGGTGTTTGTGTTTACAGATTACGATACAGAATTGGTTCAATTCATTGTTGAAGGTGTACATGTATCTTTAGTTGCTTGTATATACAGATGTCATTTTCGTATTTGTTAACAAGAAGTAATGAGTAAAGAGAAATAACCATAATTACTACAGAACAATTAAAAACGGGATCAAGAAAAGCAAACAATTTGAAAATGTTGTAGTTTTACAATAAAATGTAAATCATACAATAATTACACACGCATGTAAAAATTTTAAGCACACACATGGAGAACACATACCAACTTAACATTGAATTATGGGAAATGACTTAATAAAACAAAAATCCTATAAGGCCGTACTTATTAGACTGGCATAAAAAGATATAAGAAAAGAACACAGATTTGAGGCCGTATCTTTTTTAACGATTATAGATTTGCGAATGATGTCACGATTGAAAACAAATGTGAAAATAGGACACAGATTTGAGGCCGTATCTTTTTTAACGGACATAGATTAGCGATTGACGTCACGATGGGGCACAGATTTGAGAAACGGACATAGATTTGAGGCCGTACACAGATCTGAGGTTTACATATATACTGTGTTTTTATGTCACTCCTGTTATACATGGGAGACATAATTTTTATCCAGTTTTTCCCTCCATCACATCACAAAATTTTAATAGTGTAAATTTAAATAGGAATTGAATGAAATACAGCAGATTTGCTTTGTACAGTTTACTGGTGTGGACCTCATGTTGGATGATAATGTTTTTTGTCCTGTCTGTATGTCCGTCACACATTTTTTAAAGTAAGACAAATGGGACCATAATATAGATCAGAAGTATAAGCATGTGAACAAACCTACTGACACAAAAGGAGTTATACAGCCTGTGTCTATATTTCATAAATTGAGTTTACTTGTAGCACAGATGGGGATACTTGTGGACATAGCATTGATCTATTCCATCAAACATTGAAATAAAAATGATGAATTTATGTCTTACTTTAAATGAAGTTGGGGAAATAGGCATTATATATAGAATGAAATTTTCTGAATGTTCTTTAAAATATATGTGTTGTTTGTAGATTAAAATACATTTTAAGTTTATCACTCTTAATTGTCATTCAACTAATTTAAAAAAAAATCTTTACTATTTGTTTAATAGGTTATATCCAGTATGATATATTCACACTAGAATATTGATTATTCCCATTAGAATATGCCACATTGTATTATAAATCAGATGTATTTTTGTAAACATGAAATTCTTTCTTGCACATGTTTTTTTTCTGCATATTATTCTTTTCCCCCTTTTATATTAGCGTTTCCCTACCATAAGAATTATGGTAATATCTTTAAATATGAAGAATTTTGTAATGCATGAGATCAATATACTGTAAAACAACTAATTTTTGTGAGGCATTCATTTACACAACTTTACTGAGTAGAAAAATATTGTAAATATAAATCGTCGGAAACGTCATTTATGATCATCTTTTATATGAATACATAAACAATGTTAGAAAATTAGGAAAGAAAAACACTATTGACAAGAAAGGGCTTATTATTACAAAGTATCTGTGAAAATAAGTTGGTTTACAGTATAGATAGACTCTACCAGAAAGTTCTATTTAAATGATGTTAAAAATTTGTGCTCTAAATTTTGGACTTTCATTCACCTTTTTATTTTAGTGATAAGATAGTAAAAATTGGTACAGATTGCTGACAGGTAAAGGTCAATTCAATTAAACACTCTTGTTCTTTATGTGTGTACAAACTGCCAAAAACATCGCTTTCATGGTTAGAACAAAAATTTAAGCAAAAAATATTTTGTTCTGTAAAATATCAAGTCTAAATAATTGTTTGTATTGTTTTATTGTTGATTGATGTAATGTCCATAGGGCAATAAAAAGATTCACCAGAAACTGCTGTGTTTTTCATTTCATTCATGAATAAGGACAGTACAGTCAATAAAGTTATAGGTTTTTCCTTAAAGGCTTTTGACACACATGTTCATTTAAGATGGATCTCAAATTGGATTGATTTATTTTATAGTTTTCACAATATCTTGATATTTTAAAACTCATCATAGTTACCAGGCTTATAACTATGTATGCCAGAGACACATAAAATTGAGAATAGAAACAGGGAATGTGTCAAAGAGATAACCCGACCAAAGAACAGAAAACAGCCCAAGGCCACCACATATCCTCTACACATGATCTAGACCCATCGGTGTTGCTGTATTCTAAACAGTTAGAAGGCAATAATTGAATAATACTATTTCTAATCACCTTTGTTAACTCATTTCTTCAGTTGATTTCCAGCATCGCAAATGTTTAGTCAGATTTATTTAGTCATACCCTTTCAGTAAATTCTTTCTTTTGTTGCTACATTTGCCAGGCTCATTTCCTTTTTTTCCCTAGGTCTCATTCTTATAAGACCATACTAAATTACTTACAGATGACTGTCACCATTGTATGTTTCAAATTTATACTTGTCAAATCAAACTAGAGGCTCTCAAGAGCCTGTGTCACTCACCTGACTCTACTTTGGTTTTAGAAATCATGTAAAGATAGATAAAAATCATAACAGATACCCAAATAATGATTTGAGGCCAAATTTGGTTTAATATTGGTCCCGTTATTTAATCAAATATCCTGAGTGGCCATCTTGAACAGTAAATCGGCAACAAAGTAGCAACACTTGGTCAGCACCTCATAAGGAACATTCATGCCATGTTTGGTTTCATTCCATTCAGTGGTACTCTAAAAGAAGACATTTGTATGTATTTCCCATAGGGTCCTATGTTAAACTAAGTTCCCTATAGCAGCCATCTTGGATGATGGATCAGCTGGAAAGTAACAACACTTGGTCAGCACCTCATAAGGAACATTCATGCCATGTTTGGTTCCATTCCATTCAGTGGTTTTCTGAAAGAAGACATTTGTATGTATTTCCCATAGGGTCCTATGTTAAACTAAGTCCCCCGCTGGCGGCCATCTTGGATGATGGAACAACTGCAAAGTAACAACACTTGGTCAGCACCTCATAAGAAACATTCATGCCATGTTTGGTTTCATTCCATTCAGTGGTTCTCTAAAAGAAAACATTTGTATGTATTTCCCATAAGGTCCTATGTTAAACTAAGTCCCCCGCTAGTGGCCATCTTGGATGATGGATCGGCTGCAAAGAAACAACACTTGGTCAGCACCTCATAAGGAACATTCATGCCATGTTTGGTTACATTCCATTCAGTGGTTCTCTAGAAGAAGTTCAAAATGTAAAAGTTAATGACGACGACGGATGCCAAGTGATGAGAAAAGCTCACTTGGCCCTTTGGGCCAGGTGAGCTAAAAAGGAAACTTCACTTCTATCCAAAATAATTTTATTTTATTAATCAACAGTAATTAAAAGTATAGAATATTTAACAATTATTATAAAAGTACAAATCATAAATTATGGAATCATTTCTGATTAAAAATAAACTTGTAGGCATAGTGATGAAATTATTATAAACTATTTCAATAATACAATATTTAACAGCTTAATGCTTTAATATATCCCAACCTAATCACTAATTATACCTTATTATATTGAACAAGTATTACACTATCATTAAAATAAAAAAAAAACATGTAAAAATGGCCATGGGAGATTAAAATACCTTGACATTTTCTCTTAGGTCAGTATTTTCTTCAGATAAAAATTATTTTTCAAAAACCCACTGTCAGCTGGTGTTGATATAGTTAAACTTTCTTATGCCTAACCTCTAAAAATGAAGGCCAAAACTAGGGATTAAATTTTTTTTTTATATAACCATCATGTTCAAAAGTCTATAACCGTACTGCTTGACTTTGACTGCTGATATAAAACCTATTCTTGCTTCATGAAATTCATGAAAAGTTAACACATTTATATTTCTCAAAGCACAGAAGCAATTTATAAAATTTTGCTCCTCTCTTTGTCTTATTTCTGTGTTGTGATTAACTATGACCCCATTAATGACCATAGTTTGAATTCCATCATTTGTTGAAAATGTTTTTCAAATATCAATGAATCAATCATGATAATCATAGACTGATAGCTGTGTCTTCCGTTCATATTTTTTAAATGGTAAATCTTATTAGTTTTGAAAGTGCTAATCAAAAATCTAATTGCTGTTATTAAAATTGAAAATTGTTTATGTTCTAGTCAGAAGAAAATTTATAAAAACGTCTTGAAGTACTATTTTCGTATTATCGAATTTTGACTCCCAGAGTACATAATTTTTCCACAGGTTACCTACTGTGTGGTTGGACATTCCAGTACTTGGTCAAGAAAGAGCAAGTAAAAGAAGTAAAATCGGTACAATTTAAGGTGAAAATTAACTATTTTATGTTTTCTATACACAACAAAACCATCGGAAAACATATCATATTCTGCCTAAATTTCACCTATTGTAAGCTTGATTTGAATTCTTTTAGTTACTCTTACATGACTGAGTAGGTAACCTAATTGAGTCAAAAATCGGGATATGAAAATAGTCAATTGAGTAGCCCATATTATTAACTATGAAGGGTTAAATGGTGAAAGATGTACAGTAAAATTCTCTAAAATTAAAGGAATATATTTCATTATTTCTCGGTGGTATTCAGCAGAAGTAAATTTTTTATAGTAGTAATCATATGAGTGAGTTGCATTAAATATCATACATAGTATACCCCACTGTATCAGACATTGACAAAAAATTCCATGCTCAGTGGGTATAACAAATTTTCAAATTATCATCAAAGGGAGTAACTGACAAGCAAATCTAAAAACCATTTACACAGCTGTAGAAATGGACAGACAAGGTATGTGATCACAATATACAATCCCCTCCTTGAAAGGGGGTAAAGCATTGGTACATCCAACAAATGTATAGAGGGATATATACTGAAAAATATTCTCAGTAACAAATACACTAACTGGTGTATAAAAACAATTGTAAATAACATCAAAATGCATAGATTATTTCTGCACATTAAAACCATGTCAAAAAATAAAGCTATTGGCAGTAAAATATATGTATATTGTAAAAACAATACTTATGAAAACTCTTTATAACATATTAAAAGATAATGTATAAAATAAAATATACAAGAACAATCTTATATTTCTTATGTTCAATGCAGAAAGTAAATAAGAACACTAAAGCTTCTCACACTCACTGATTATCGAAAAAAGTAAAGTCGAGGATATTCAATACTTGGATGATTACAAGGCAGTGGTTAATTTTCTGATTTGAACTACCATATTGAGAAATTTCAGTAAAATAGTCATATGTGTATTTGAGATAATAGTTTTTTTTTTCTGTTTTGTAAGTTCAATGGGGATTTCTGATTGTCTTAAATGAAATTTATAGTTTGTCTAGCTAGACATGTATGACTAGAGTACTGACATGCACATACATAATAAATGGGAACATCTAATTTCTTGCAAAACAAATACAGTTTCTTTTTAATGAACTTTGACAATACCGCATTCATATAATAATATGACTATCAAAATGTACTCAAAGAGACAGAATCTCAACAAACATAGACTAATAAAAGCTGTCTCATGTTTAAAAAAACATGTGTACCAAAAAGAACTTTCAAAAAAATGTAAACCTACATGATAGCATGAAATTTTCAGAGAAAAAAAACAATAAAATTGACAAACATGAAAGGAAATTAAAGTTTGATATTACATGTATTTTCATGACAAATTTAGCTGATCAGGTCTAGTAGCTCTTAGTCATCAAATCCAACTGGTCCCTGAGTCTGTACAGATTTAAGACAAGCTTTCACTAGTTTCATTACTTTGATTGTGTCCTCTTTCGTTACTCTCATTTCACATTTACCTGAAAATAACACAATTTCTTTATACATTTTGTAATAGATTGCATTTTTAAGGTACACAATATACAATGCAAATGGTATAATTTAGCTAAAAAAATAAACAAATTTTCATTTACATTGTAGATTTTTGTTACTTGATACTTAAAACTCATGATTCAAAGATTAATTTTCTTAAATAGAAAGTCTGTCATTAGGAAACATTTAATAATAAAATTGAGAATGGAAACAGGGAATGCGTCAAAGAGACAACCACCTAACTCTATCAGGTAAAATTTATCTAGTAATTCTCACCTCCCATCATTCAGAATTTGAAATAAAAATTGTGCTCCAAAATTTCTGATCATTGGGTTTTTGGGTCAGTCTAAACAATGATAATGACCAGGAAATTGTTTGAAATAGCAAGCTTAAATGAGAACCTACAAATGTATCTACCAATTAGAATTTCATCTTGAATTATATTCATTCTAACACAAAAATGAAGTTATTTTCATACAAAAACCTTTGATTATAATTTTCCATAGCTTATGAGCTATGCTTTGATATTCATAACAATACTTCTCATTTTCTTATAAACATACCTTCCATTATATCTAGAAAATGTTCCAGTTCATTGGCATAGGCCTGTGGATATCTGGTAGTAAAATGTGGATGTATTGGACCTGATGAGGTAGTATTGCCTGTACATGTAGTCAACAAGGATGTGTTAGGGTTTTCTACTTTCAGCATACCATTATCAAACAAAGCCTGTAATAAATACATTATTTTTTTATATCTTATACATTAGTTTCTGTGTTGGCACAATATACAGTTAAGTTGATCCATATTTTTATTTACACTCAAAAAACCCTAAATAGAAGGTATCTAAAACTGGAAATCTTTGCAACCGGAAATATTAAACCATTGTAATAAATTTACCGATTTTCTCTGTTCAAGGCACAGAAATCCTATTAAATCTGAAACTATATAAGTTATATAAATATTCCTGACAAAACAAACAATGATATTTATGTATCTATCAAAAATTCCAATTTGAATTATCACCTGGATGTATTGATGTGCAAATTCATAGGAGGGCAAAAAAGTAGCTACATACTTGATAGAAGAATGAAGACATAAATATACTTAAAGGCAGATGAATCATGTTTTTGAAGATGGATTTAAAACTGTAAACCATAGCAAGACATTTATTTAGCACAAATTTAAGTTTGTGGTTTTATAGATTTATTGCAATTTGCATAGAACAACCTGAATTCATTTTAAAGTTTTCAGAAACTTAGTTTTTACCTCTAGTCTTTGGTCATAACCATAACCAGATACTCTGCCATTCTCGAGACATGCTATTATACCATTCTTATACTTAATAGTCACAATAACTTGGTCCATATCATTACATTTACCAATCTCTGGATCAAAAGCATTTCCCTGTACATATATTGTCTCTGGAATTGATCCTGACAACCACAATGATAGGTCAAGGTCATGGATTGTTGAATCATTCAAAATTCCACCTGTAAATTTAAGTCAGTCTTACGACATTACTCTAATACAAACATTATCTTTCTTTACCGGATTTATCTGATATTGTTTTGTATAAAGTGTTGTCTAAATGAAACAAATTTAAGTAGAAAGTGGAATAAATAAATTGGATTTCATTCAAACTGCAGATTTTTTTCATTCTTGTCCTATTAAATATAACAATTACATGTCTTTCATGCCAACAGCCACTTGTTTTATTAAAAAAAATATGAAGTTTCAGCAAACAAAATACAATATTTCCTTTGACCTTCAAGTTTAATTCATAATTTGGAAAAGTCAAATGTAATATACTCTCTGCGTTGGTTGGAATTAGATTTTTTTCTCATTAGGAATATAATCATTCTGAACAATAACAAAGTCATGTATATATAAACTGTTTGTATTAATTTCAATGAAATATACCTCTTAACTTGTAGAGTAAATATCATTCTCACCCGATGTTTTTATATATGATATTGGAGGAGCTTCTAAATCTCTGCTTGTTGTTTTTATCAAACGTAGATTCCCAAGCTTTTTCTCTTGAATCTGAGAGTAAACCTGATAAAAATCAGGATCAAACCTCCTGCAAAATAACAAAACAATGAAATCATTATTCTGAGTGCATTGCATTGTATTGCAAATGCAATACAATGTGCCCTACCACAGGGATATTTAATAAATGAGTTTACACTGATGCGATAAGCATTCCATAGAAAAGGAGGTTGGTAAATTTTTGGTTCATATTGGGGAAAGAGTTGTTACTAATTTGCCACACATGGAGGAAACTCAAACTTGATCTGAAAATTCTAATGACATGACTTTATACTTTCTAATCAATTGATGCAGGACATTGTAGAAAAAAGTGCAGAAAACTGGGGTCTTTTTTCAAGCAATTTGCCATGTACTAGAGCCACTTCTTCAGCTAAAATCACTAAAGCACAATGAAACTCATCCATCAGTAACTTCTTATAATCTGACTAAAAATTAAATAACTTATCAATGTAAGAAATAAGGAAGATTAAAGTTCTGAAACATAATCTAAAGCAATTTTTAGTGTACAAGGGTCATACTTTTTGCAGAAATTGCTCAAGTGGACCAAGTGGAAATTCAATTTGCAAATTACTATAATATGACTACATGCAAATTATCTTATGAATAGATTGAAGCATTATAGAAAGAAGTATGGAAATCTTCTAGGAAGGATGAACTGACGAATGGAAAAGGTAAAAACCTAGTCCTTTTCAGTTTGGTGGTACGATTCTAATCATCTTCCCTGAAAGAAACTTTTGTTTTAGAATTCTTGTTTGTCAAAAAAAGCAAATGATCCTATCTTAATTTGTTCATACTTTTGATTTTTACTTCATAACCTTTTCAAAATGACAAAATTTTAAAAATGCTGTAATTCTTTTAAAATTTCAGTAGAGAACATCCTTAACTAAATACATAATAGTATAACCTAGAATTATATTTTCAAATTTGTTGTAAAGGATGAGAGGTTAAATTCATTATTTCTGAAGTTCATTTTATTTTATATAACTTATATTTGGTTTTGAAAGCAAGTCCTGAATTGTCTCTGTCAAATTTCTTTAAAACTTTTCTAGACATCAAGCAAGTTAATCATCGATTTTTATAGACCATATGTTGACCTTTAAATGTCTTATTTTGGCTCTGTTGTTAGGTTCTTGTTTTACTTACATACATCCTACATCTGTTATTCTAATAACAGGGCCGTAACTAGACATCAGTAACAGACGAGGCAGGGGTTTGAGAACCGCCAATTGAGGCCCCCAGGTGAAGAGGGGGTGGGGATGGGAGGGATGGCAAAGCCCCCAGGCCGAAAATTGTAATAATAGGGTCTGAAACAGGGCTTCCTAAACGGTCATATATTCCGGACTTGACCGAAACTTTCATAAAAAGACCGGCTGCTCTCAGCCTCAAACGGTCAAATAGAATTGGTGTGCCACATTTTGTTATTCAAGGCATTTTCATGAAACGGTCATTTCAATTTTTACCAACTATCGATCGATAAAAATGTCCGTTTGGGGCTTTGGGCATGTCCGTTTGGGCATTTTAGTTTATAATTGTGGCAATCTATTTCACAAAGATATTTCGGTCATAATTGGTTTTAATAAAACAGAAGCAGCATATTTCAGATACTTTGAAGTGTCTCAGTTAGTTTTATCCTCTGGGTACATAAATGTACGGCTTGGTCTTTAGCTTGTGTACATCAATAAAAAGTAGAAAAAACACGTTTTCTTTTATTTAAATAACAAGAAGCTGTCAAACAATTATCCCTTCAATAAGTTATATTGAAGCCATAAAATCATTCACTGATTACAGGTTTGTTACCTTTGATGAGGTGTCCTTAGCTTGTCTTTATCAATAGAATTAATGATGCATAACAATGTACATAAAGATAATCAGGTAAACGAGGTCAAACATGTAAGCGTGTATGGAACAACATCCTATTTAATTACGCTTTATAGATATTATTTTAAATGAGCATTCAGTTTAAAAAAGTATCCTGATATTTAAAAGTTATTCTTCAAATAAGGATATTTATAAATGAATAAGTATGATATATATTATTTTATTTAACACTGTACATCGTGTTAAATACTGGGGTACTCTCAAGGGGAAAATTTACTAAAATATATAGGACTCTGAAATAAAAATTGTTACATCCCTTTTTTGTTTTATTATTACCGTATGAAGAACTGCATTAGGCTATCAGACCGGCTGACAGATACTTGCCTCGAATTTTGTACCATCAAACATGTATCCATTTACAGTAGGATACATGCTTGATAGAAGAAAAAGCGGGACCAGTGTTAGTGTGGTCAACGCTTCGTTAAAAATAACACACATTTTAATAACACTTTAATCAAGCCCAAAGAATGGAATCTAGTCACTGTCTGTGAATGCTAGTTCGACCTTTTTTGTGCCACTCAGTTCCCATCGTTTGAGAACATCTTCTGCGTTCACTTGCCCAACATTGTCCTTACAATGGACGTGAAGCATGGCTAAATGTGGTCCACATTATCTGTCCTTGGTCATTGTTGACCTGCACCATTCTTTAAACGTCGAAGTGCAGAAAAAGATCTCTCACATGAGCAAGAACCAACCGGCAATGTCAATAGTAGCTTCAAAATTGTATGAATATTTGGATACAGGTCCCGATCAGCATACGAAATTGAGTCTGCAAGAGTCTTAACAGACTCTAAGTTGGATCTGGTTAACCACCCATCTGTCAATTTCTTGTCCCATATCATTTGGTTATAGCAAGTCATTGATCATGTATTCTGTTTTCATATCATAAATAATTTCCAGATTTATTTTGATTACAAGAGCTGGTACGAGATAAATGCCATAGAACATTGCCTTCAGTTCTTCTGGAAATCGTGAATTTAAATGTGAAATCAAATGGTCAATGAAAGGAAGAAAGTAGTTAATCCTGTAATGATATTCAATACTTTCAACTGGTGCGTTTGCTCTGTTGGTCAAACTCGTTCAAGAGACTTTTTCCGCGGGAAATAAATAATTGCAGAACCAACATGACCAAATGCCGGTTACTGGCGATGGTAATCAGGCAGAGAGTTCGATACCTAACGTATCCAACGAATCATGATGAATCCACAGTAGTTGAAGTAAAAGTACAGAAACTGCACGTTAACATTAATTACTGTTTGGAGTATGCATTACTTAATTCATTATATGAAAATGCAAGGATGTTTTCTACCCTTGCATGCCTAGCTTTCTCCATTTTCTATTCTTTTCTTCTTATTTATTTTGCCAGAAAATCAGACGAGGCAATTGCCTCATCTGCCTCAACGGTAATTACGGCCCTGAATAATTTTGAAAAAGTACAGGTATAAATCAAAAGTTAATTAGAAATTCTTTGTGATCATCCTACATCCTACAATTGCATCCAACATGAGAAAACTATGAGCTGGTTTTACAAAAGATATCTTAATTTTAGTTTCTCTCAGAGATCCTTGTAAAAATCATACCTGTGAAGGGCATTGAACAATGGTTTGTTTTTGGAAGCTGCTACATTGTAACAATCTTCTGTAGTTTTTATGTTATCTGTAATAGGTTTCTCACAAAATACTGCCTTGTCTGAAATAAATATTCAAAGTCATTCACTATAAAAAGTTAATTACACTTGATAAAAATATAAAATAAATTAAACATTAATTTTACCTTATATCAGGAATATCTTCATGCAAACATTTTCACAATTTGTTAAAAAAAAGACATGCTTATTTGAAAGTATCTCTATTACTATAACTAGTTTATATGTGTCCATTTTGCCATCCTTTTCTTAATATAAGACACAAAATAAATACTTACTTGCATTTAAAGAATCTTTGATGATAGATTCATGTGTGGTAGTTGGAGAACATATTAACACTGCTTTCACACTGAAATAAAATCATTGTTTTCATCAATAGTTGATTGACTGATTGATTGCTGCTTGCTTAATTTCCAGTGGCAAATATTTCATAAATATTCATGCCTACAACAAATTTAACAACAAATCAATTAAAAAAATTCTGAAAAGCAGGTCAGAAGTTTGGACTGCTACCAGGAAAAGGAGGTTCATACAAAAGGTACCTACATTAGTTCTATGAACCACATATAAGTTGTAGTATGAGTTCTTTAATGTGAAGAAAGCACTGCATATATTACAAACTACTGTCTATGTGTGATCTGTATGAATGTCGGCTTCATTTCAGACAACAGACTGTTCCAAACAAATCACTATTATATACCACTGAGAGCATAAGGTATCACAAATGCCTCCATGTCAAGAAATAAATTTGTTCAAAATAAATGCATCATTTAAAAACTTTCAGAGTCATATACCAATCAGGATCTTCTTTATTAACAATTTCATAAACAGAACATTCCATCTAATAGAGTAGATTTGTTTTGATTAACATATTTTGTGAGATTTTTGTTGCAATGATGTATCCCCAAACATTTTGTACATATTTAAAATTTAAATACATTTTGTAGTTGTAATTGGGATTTCTCGTGCTTCCCTTTGCCTATATCACCCTGCTCAGTCGCTTCATAATTCTTGTATCACAGCTTTTGAGACTTATCATCAACACCATAATATCTGAGAAGAGGTAATAGCTACATGTACATCACAATGCATGAGGAGACGTTATCAAGCTTACTTTTGTCAAGAGTAAAAGTGTCTAAGGGAGGAAAGAAAAGACCAAAACAGCATTATATCTTAAAATATCAGATGCTTGACACAATTTGAAGCTTTTTTCTCTTTCGCATCGCTCAATCTCAAAAAAAGGTTCACATAGTGGCTCCTGACTGATATTTTATGATAATGTATAGACAAGAGGCTGTCAGATTGACAGCAAACTGGATTTCCTGCATGAAAATGATATTTGCAAATCTGGACCACCAAACAGGATCAAGTTTAAACAAGAGGCTGTCAGAGCGACAGCAAACCAGATTTTTTAACATTTATTTGTGTCCTGGCATTTTTCAATATCACAAGGACCATAACTCCTGAACAGTCAATATGACAATCATCGATATTGAACTTGACCTCCATTTTGTGATCAGTAACAACATATTAAAATTTGAAAAGCCTTGGTTGAAGGGTTCAGGAGTTAAAGCATGGACACGACTGGAAAGACCATTTATCAATCTTTCAAGAACCATAACTCCTGAACGGTAAAAGTGAAAATCGTCAATATTGAACTTGACCTCCATTTTGTCATCAGTAACAACATATTAAAATTTGAAAAGCTTTGGTTGAACGGTACATGAGTTAAAGCATGGACACAACTGGAAATAAAATTGAGAACGGAAATGGGGAATATGTCAAAGAGACAACAACCCAACCAAAGAGCAGACAACAGCCGAAGGTCACCAATGGGTCTTCAACGCAGAAGGAAAATCCCGCACCCGGAGATGGTCCTCAGCTGGCCCCTAAATAAAATTGTGTTCTAATTCAGTGAAAATGGACGTCACTCCAAAACATATAAATGAACTAAAATTAAAAAAACATACAAGACTAACAAAGGCCAGAGGCTCCTGACTTGGGAAAGGCGCAAAAATGCGGCGGGGTTAAAAATGTTTTGTGAGATCTCAACCCTCCCCCTATACCTCTAGCCAATGTAGAATAAAGAAACACATAGCAATACGCACAGAAAGACCATTTTTCTAACTTTCAAGAACCATAACTCCTGAACAGTGAAAGTGAAAATTGTCAATATTGAACTTGACCTCCATTTTGTCATCAGTAACATCATATAATAATTTGAAAAGCTTTGATTGAACGGTTCATGAGTTAAAGCATGGACACGATTGAAAAGACCATTTTTCAATCTTTCAAGAACCATAACTCCTGAACGGTGAAAGTTAAAATCGTCAATATTGAACTTGACCTCCATTTTGTCATCAGTAACATCATATAATAATTTGAAAAGCTTTGATTGAATGGTTCATGAGTTAAAGCATGGACACGACTGAAAAGACCATTTTTTAATCTTTCAAGAAGCATAACTCCTGAACGGTGAAAGTGAAAATCGTCAATATTAAACTTTACCTCTATTTTGTCATCAGTAACAACATATTAAAATTTTAAAAGCTTTGGTTGAAAGGTTCATGAGTAAATGCACGGACACTGTTTGGCAGCCGCCCACTCACCCAGGTGCCAGACCGCCCGCCGTACATCCCCCAAATCAATAACTGATTTTTCCTTTGGAAATCCGGTTAAAAAATAAATTAATTTTTGTAGGGTTCAGAAATGGAAAGGCCAAAATCAATCTAAGTATCACTTTTCAAAAATCGAAACTTTACCTTCATTTAGTCACAGGAAACAACATATCTAATTTTGAAAAGATTTCGTCAAAGCATTTTCAAGTTATTGCACAGATAACGCTCTAAGTATCACTTTTAGCTACTTAAAAGTCTACAACTCATTAAGGATAAAAGTTAAAATTATGAAAATCAAAACTTGACCTTCATTTAGTCACAGGAAATAACATATCTAAATTTGAAAAGATTTCGTCAAAGCGTTTTCAAGTTATTGCACGGACACTGTTTAGCAGCCGCCCGGCCGACTGACCGCCTTACATCACCAAATTAATAACCAATATTTTCCTTTGGAAATCCAGTTAAAAACCCAATAATCTATACACATCAGTTTGTAGAGTATAAATAATGTGTTTAATAATATAGTAAACTATTTCTTACTTTGGATCATTATAAACAGCCTCTAGTTTGTCTGGTGTAGTACATTTAGCTGACAGATTGTAGTCTTTCACAAATTTCTCAGCATCTTCTAGCTTGTTTCTTATGATCCAGTTAACTGTAGCTCTGGGTGAAAGCATAATGTTCTTCATATGGGCCAAGCCTGAAACATAATTTTGATAATCAGTTTTTATTGCAATAATTGTCATTGGCATTTTAGTTGCTCTGTTTTTCTGATTCCTACATAGGTACAACTTAGATTTTTATCTATTATGTCACATGCCTCATTTTCAAACAAGAGGCTCTAAGGGATCTAAAAAACTGATCTGGTGCATTATATTTGCTGATTAGTTCCTTGACTGACCTTGAGTGTACATGTACCTGTTTCTGTTCACTACTAAACTCATTTTTCAGAATCTGATTTTTTTTTCAAAATTTTCTACTCTTGGTAATAATATATAGCCATCATATAATTAAATAGTGGATCGGTTTAAATCCAACAAAAAAATTTATAAATATTTTTTTCCCTAAATTATCTTTTCAGATTAACAGATGTAAATAGGTTGAATGTCCTTTGCAAGAAAGATTTTGAATTTGTAGAAATCATATCCTATGGTTTGATGTGGCATGGGTATTCCAATACAATGTACTAGACAATTAGTTATACTGAAATGTTTATGACTTGAGTTTTTTTTCTCATAAGATATTTTGTGAAATGGGTCGCAGGTCTATAACATGACTTTAAAAGACTTTCTTACAATTCCATTTTGTTGATTTTTTCCTATATTATATTTTCAGTATATTGACTATGTCGGATGTAGACAGGGAAACATTTCACAAGTTTTTATGTCAAAACCTTAATTATGATACAGGCCAAGTTTTCTCTCATTTCCCCAAATAGTTTCAGAGAATTTTATAAATATTTAACAGCCAATGAATGGTCTTAATAAATATAACATTATATAATGATATTCAAATATGCACACTAATAGAAACCTGTAGTAAATGCACATTTTCACAAGAAAAAGAGAAGGTATGATAAAAAAAAGGGCAATTTTTTGGCCCCTTGTCTTTTTGAAAATCAAAAAGTATTATAAATCTACAATATAAAATCCATCAAATGTTCATAAGACATTAGTATGTCAGATACCACTATATTATATATATATATATATATATATATGCATTAAGGCTTCAAACAAGTGAGAAATTCTTTAAACTCTTAAAATACATACCCATATTACCAAGCCCAAATAAGGCAAATCCTACTCTGTGGCTCATAGTTTACTTTTTTACTGCTGAAAAGTAGAAATAGCATGGCTATTATTTGTGAACATGTTACAGAATATCTGTTGAGCTACCTAAAATATTACTTGCATTTAATGTTGACATAAAGTTTTTAAGCATGATAATATGTAACACCAGGCCTCTACAATAACTTTTTTTTCAACTTGTCCAGTAGGACAAGTACATACCAAAACTTACTTGTCCGAATGAAATTGTAACTTGTCCAAAAAAAATCTTAATAATAACCTTTTTTGCATTTTAAGTTGATTGAATTAAAACAATAGAACAGAATTTGATTTTAACATATCTTTTGCAATACTTTACAAAAATATGAGTCGAGAACAACTGAATCTAGTCATGTCACAGGACTTAGGTTCTAGTTTTCATCAATGCCAAAGTCTCATCAGACTCTGCACATGAGGCACCATCTGATAGGATTGCCAATGTACACTCATTGGATTTGTATCTTGGTTTTTTAAGTTGAAAAAAGTTTATTCAAATGCAATCAATAAAAAAAAGGAGATGAGGTATGATTGCCAATGAGACAACTCTCTGCAAGAGATCAAATGACACAGAAATTAACAACTATAGGTCACCGTATTGCAAGTATTGTTTTTTTCTACATACATGACATATGATCAAATATGATTTTGTGAATTTTATAGTCATTTTTATTTTAAAAATATTTTTGCTAAAAAAATTACCGGTATGGTATTTATTATAAAGCAACAGAATAAGGTAGGAAAACGAGGTACTGATTTGTCTTGGTCCTGAAATGTCTCCTGCGTTACCAAACTGTCTATTAATTATGTTTATTGAATATGTCTCCAACGGTGCCAAACTGTCTATTAAACTTGGAGCCGAATCGATTCCGAGCTGGTGATGAACTGTCTTGTAAAGTTACCTTATCTACAAAGCGCATATTGGATCAGTAAGACTGGTTTCCGAGAACCTGTTAAAAAGTACCTGACAAAGAACCAGTTTTAAATTATCGATTGCAAGTAAACATGTCAAATTAATACTTGTTTTTATGTTCTTTTCTTGTTTTTTGTTTATAATTACTTTGTTCATCAAAGTTGGATTAAATTTATTTTCTGCAGAATAATTTTACTTGTCCCGTCGGACAAGCTTGATATAGCTTTTACTTGTCTGACCTTTGTTTCCTCGGGTACCGGACAATCAGACAAGCGTTATTGTCGAGCCCTGAACACCTTTTAAAATGTTCAATTCAGTACAATGGAAAAATGTTTTGATTTTTGGTTGGATCTTATTCCTAGGAGGTTTAATAATTAAAATACATATATATAACAAAATTGGTGTATGTGTTATCCAGTAAAATTATTTTTCAACCTTAACTTGTTAGAATTATGTGTTTTAATGTGTATTTAAGTTCAGTTCACACTAATCCAATGTGAGACTAAATTTAAGTTTTACATGACATTCTAATAGACTGTAGCAGTCAACATACTGAATTTATTTCTAATAAATTTTCAATGCTCAGAGAAAAAGCAAGAATTACTTTTTTCAAAAACTTAAAAAAAATTATTTCAAGCAAAATATTGAGCTCATGAACTTCAACTTTTCATTTCAGGCGAAGCCCTAAGCAATAAAACAATTACACACTCTTGCTATAATTAATTATATTGATATATCAGATTGCATTTGTATTTTCTACTTTAGTCTGTTTTGTTATGGTCTTTCACAGGGGCTAGTATCATACATGTTTCAGGATTGGAAATATGTACCAGTAGACAAGTATGCCCACAGGAACTTGAATCATAGATGTTTTGGGACGAAAATATGTGCCAGTAGACTGGTATGCAAAAAGGAGCTTGTATCCTAAATATTTTTTGGGTCATAAATGTGTGCAAGTTGTCTGGTATGCATTCTAGATTGGGCACGAGGCACATGACATATAACTGATTTATAGTATGTTCTTATGTTGTACTGATACACCACTGTCCCAGGTTAGGGGGAGGGTTGGGCGCTCGCTAACATGTTTTATCCTGCCACATTCTGTGTGTGCCTGTCCCAAGTCAGGAGCCTGTAATTCAGTGGTTTGTTTCAGTGTATACGTATTATATTTGTTTTTCAATCCTTATTTTGTACATAAATTAGGCAGTTAGTTTTCTCATTTGAATTGTTTTACATTTGTCATTTTGGGGCCTTTTATAGCTTACTATGCGTATGGGTTTTGCTCATTGTTGAAGGCCATACATGACCTATAGTTGTTGATTTCTGTGTCATTTGGTCTCTTGTGGAGAGTTGTCTCGTTAGAAATTATACCACATCTTCTTATTTTTATATGTATGCCTAATGCTCAATTTAGAACACTTTCAAGTCGACTGGCATATATATATTTGTAACCAAAAAACATCTTTGATACCAGAATATTTGGTATGCCGTTTAGTAAGCTATGCAAGGCCCTGATATAACAAATAGACTTTTATAGTGAAACAATCTTAAAAAAAAGACAAGAGTGCACACGCTGAAATGTCTCGCCTTCTTTACTAATCATTGATATTATGTTGATAGTCCTAAATATAAAGCTTTATTACAACTGTCACATAAACTTAACATTAACCAAGTAAACTAAACATTGACCAATGAACCATGAAAATGAGGTCAAGGTCAGATGAACCATGCTAGGCAGGCATGTACAGCTAACAATTCTTCCATACAACAAATATAGTTGACCTATTGCTTATAGTTTGAGAAAAACAGACCAAAACACAAAAACTTAACACTGAGCAATGAACCTTGAAAATGAGGTCAAGGTCAAATAAATCCTGCGTGACTGACATATAGATCATAAAATATTTCCATACACCAAATATAGTTGAACTATTGCATATAGTATTAGAAAAAAAGACCAAAACTCGAAAACTTAACTTTGACCACTGAACCATGAAAATGAGGTCAAGGTCAGATGACACCTGCCAGCTAGACATGTACACCTTACAATCATTCCATACACCAAATATAGTAGACCTAGTGCATACAGTATAAGAAAAACAGACCAAAACACAAAAGCTTAACTATAACCACTGAACCATGAAAATGAGGTCAAGGTCAGATGACACCTGCCGGTTGGACATGTACACCTTACAGTCCTTCCATACACCGAATATACTAGACCTATTGCTTATAGTATCTGAGATATGGACTTGACCACCAAAACTTAACCTTGTTCACTGATCCATGAAATGAGGTCGAGGTCATGTGAAAACTGTCTGACAGGCATGAGGACCGTGCAAGGTACGCACATACCAAATATAGTTATCCTATTACTTATAATAAGAGAGAATTTAACATTACAAAAAATCTTAACTTTTTTTTCAAGTAGTCACTGAACCATAAAAATGAGGTCAAGGACATTGGACATGTGACTGACGGAAACTTCGTAACATGAGGCATCCATATACAAAGTATGAAGCATCCAGATCTTCCACCTTCTAAAATATAAAGCTTTCAAGAAGTTAGTTTACGCCGTCGCCGCCGCCGCCGCTGTAGCCGCAGCCGCCGCCAGATCACTATCCCTATGTCAAGCTTTCTGCGACAAAAGTCGCAGGCTCGACAAAAACCAGTGGCCTGATTTATCCTATAATAATAAACGAAAATCAATATTTAGGGTGTCATCTCACCATTTGCAGATTGAAATAGGACGATACCAGGGTACTCCTCCACACCTTAGACTATGTCAGCAGTGTAACTCTGGTAATATTGAAGATAAAGTTTATTTTCTCTTTTATTGCACAAAATATAACGAAGACAGACACCATTTATATCACATTATTTCATAATCATGTCCAAATTTCATTAACTTAAATTCCCACGAGAAATTGCTATGGCTGCTGTCTTGTGAGAACTCAACTGTATTAAAAGAGTTGTGTATATTCCTGGTTAAACACTGCAAATAGCAGATTTATATGACATGTTTCGCATAATTAGCAATTGTTGTTATTTGAAAGAAAAAAAAAATTTGTTAATTGACCGGATTCAGTTTCTCTATTTATTTTGTTCATCTGCTTCTAACACGGGGAGGATTGCTGTTATTGCCTATCGCAATCAACATTATATCCTAGAGCACCGTCCCTTGGTGTATCCTGCAGATGAACAAATTTCCATCTTTATAGATATAATAATTTAAGTTTGTTCAAACTTTATTATTAATATTTTTTTTTTTATGTGTGCACTGCTGGACATAGAAATAATAATGGTAATAAGGAAGGAAGGAAAAAAAAATAATCAAGAGTACTTTTAATGTATTTTTGTCATTAATGCTATCTTCATTTGTCTATTATAATATCTGTCACCTTATATACTGTACAAAGTCTCATGTTTGTTGCTTATACTATCATAATTGTTAATTGTAAATGCCCCCTGTGGGACCCTGATTGGAATAATAAAATATTTGATTTGATTTGATTTGAATATGGCAGACAGTAATCATTGACAACCACATAAAGAATATGGAAGGGTTAAACATATTTATTTAGCACTCGACCCTCCATTTAACATGAGATAGTGGTGAAACAGCGCAACACAAGAACTGTTGAAATCAGTCAAAGAGGGCTGGACATTTAAGATCGACAGGAAGCAAAAAAAAAGAAAAAAAAAGGTGAAAGACAAAACGTACCGAGCGAAGAGTACTGGCAGTTACTGAACATGCTAAAAGCCAATTATACCTTATAAATTTATAAATCATGTCTTCCCCCAGCCTTCACGATAAACTTTTGAGTCCACAAGCCCAAAGCTCAATTTTTTGAAAATTTTAGTTGGATTCTGTTGGCTTGAAGAGAAGAATTTTACAAGCCTGAAAGCAATTTTACAAGCCGGGGCCGTAGGACTTGTGGTTTAGAGTGAAGACTGTAATCCCCCCTTACTAGGCTTTGCTTCAAATCATAATGCATGCGTGTTTATGTGAAATTTTAAAGTGCTTTTGATCCATGTGCTGTTTTATTTCATTACCATTCTTATGTGCGCTTATTTCATTCGATAATTATTTGTGCTTTTATGTGTTTTTATGCCTATGTGTGATTGTCTTAAAAGAAGCTTAATTAATCATTGCTTATCGAATGTTTAGTATATATGTTATAAACGGTTGTAAGGGCTTTTCTAATATCTAGTTTTTCCTGATATTTCATCACTAAAGCACGTACCTCAAGGTCCTAATCTCTTCCTTAGCTGTCTACAGACATGACAGAAATCAGAAAACTCCTCAAAACTTAAAATCGCAAAAGTGATTAGGGACCCTCTAGTCCAAATAATTATGACGTCTTGAAAGTCGTAGGAAGGCATCACAGAAAAAAGACGTTATAATTATTTGAACTAGGGACCCTTCCCCTTTTCATGGCCCCTTACCTATTCCAGCTAATTATGTCTTCTGATGAGAGCATTTTAGATTTATCTTGTTAAGGCCCCTCATTAAAGGAACGGTCTCAATATAAATACAAAGGAGACATAATTATTTGGACTACTTTATTTGCATACACCCTCCTGAACCATGCAGAGTGAGTGTTTAAATATCAAATGCGTTCTCCATTATCCCTTACTTCTTTTATCCTTCATCATACGAAATTCATTTTAAGTTCCCAATAAGAAATTAGTTTTACCTATCTATGACACTTAAAATCTATTACATAAACTTATATTTATGTGATCTCTTGTCTTATCAGTTCGAATTCCGGATCCAGGCCTAATTTTATAGTTTATTTATAATTTCCGGTTGTGGTCTCCAAGAAAAACATTCACATTTTTTTACTTTTTTAATATAACCAGTCTACTAACCGATGTTATAACATTATATGTTAAAGAGGATGGCTAATCCAGAGTAGTATGTAAAGATTGACCCATAAAATTTTACAGAATGTCGATTTTTATTTGCTCCCCCTTATTTTAAACAGTTTGTCTTTGATTGTACATTTTTTCATGGCGTGGTAGGTGCTCAGGGTAGGTGTGGTCTGTTAAACTGTCCAATATTTTTATTTTCATTTAATCCATTTCCATTATAATTTGTAAGTGGAGAGATGATAATCATTTATCATTTAGGAGTTGTTGTTTTTTTTAATTTTAAAACAAAAAAATATTCAATATTTTTTGGGACTATTATACTAAAATAATAGTTTAATAGTCCCAGATATTTTATTAGAAAAAACACAAAAGAGCCATGATTCAAATACATTACACAAATAAACTAACTATAAATAATTAACTCACAATCTTAACTGATATATTTATTAGATTTATCGTTTATACTTAGTATAATCAGATAATATAAAAATAAGAAGATGTGGTACATATGTCATTGCCAATGAGACAACTCTCCACCACAGAACACCATAGAATACCACAAAACAACCTAAAATATACCACTGAATTACTTAAAAACAATAAAACCACAAAGATATACCACAGAAATCAAAATTTTACGACACAATGCAAAACTAAATTCAAAATTATATCATTTCATTCCTCAGTAGGATGCCTGAGTTCCCCCTCAGAATATTAGCATATACATTTGAATATGTATATGTAGCAAATATAATTAACTCTTGAATATATATATAAGTGGTGGATAACTGTAATCTCTCTGTTAAAAATGATTCTTTTTATAGTAATATTAAAATGATAAATCAAATAAAAAGTCAAAAACATAAAATGTGGTGCTCTTTTTTTCTCTAACACTATCAAATATCTTAGGGATCGTTATATATTCTTACAACTAAATAACTTTGGTTAATATTTAGAAGACAATACAGATTTATTCATTTTACATTTATTTATATTACGATCATACGTTGTCATAGCCATGATAGCAGAGGTTCATAACTGTAACTTAAGCAGCTTCAGAAGTTTGTGCCAAACTTCAATTAATTTAAGGACACCATTACAGTTTCTTTCAGGTGGGGTGTAGTGTGCGTTTTTCACCCCAAAATCTGGAAACAATAACTTTTTACCATAGGAAATGTCTAAATTTAAACAATTGCAACAATAATAATGTCTATAGTATTAAAATTTGAAGGTTCTGTGGTATATTTTGGTCTTTCTGTGGAATTCTGATGTATTCTGTAGTATTCTGTGGTGTTCTGTTGTAAAATGACGCTCCTATGTATTGGTACAATTATACTATCAGGTGTGTAATTTCATAGTACACAGTACCATTATTGCCAATGTTTTTTTGTTTTTTTTATAGATATAGTAAACATACATGTATATATATATATATATTGCAAATTTTACAAATCCTTTCACTAGAGGGTGTTATTGGTTTACAATGTATTATACTTGTATCTACCAATTTCAATGGCTAATGAGTGCACACTTAATCTTGATTTGGTAAGTTTTTTTCATAGATCTTTTGGAACATTAAAGGTAGATATTCTAAGCAAAGGTTACTGGAGAATCACACATCTATGATCCAGAAGACAAACCTCATGTGAGTAGGATGATCAATGTCTCTTGATGTAGATCACAGTCACATCCAGTCATCTGTGTTTAGATACATATAAAAGAACACTGCAATAAAAGCAATAAGTCCATAGGTGACTTGTCACAAGGCAAAATTCTGATATTTTGTAACATGCCTTCTTTTTTCATTATATATAGTATTACCAGTCAACCCATTTTTTTGCAGAACCTAATATCTTATTAATAGTTGTTAATTTGTTATCATCCTAAACATGCAGGGATATTTTGACACTAGATGTTTAGCAAACTACAATCAATCTAACTGTTATAAGTTGCTTCTGGTAGTTCTTAGGTGAGATGTGAGTCTTTCTTTGCTATGTCAGCTATAACAATGTATCAGATATTGAGGGTCATATCAAACACAGTGATTTCAGTAATTGTAAGTTGTAATACATGTATGTTATTTCCCTAATAAAGTCTTCTACAGTATAATGCTGTACATTGGGTCACTGTATTGACTCTGGCAGAAAATTTTTATATAATATTTTTTAACTAAAAATAGGAATCCATGTTTTAAAATTAAGATGCCAGAACTATCTACCAAAGGGCCAAGGAACTATACAGGTCATCCCACAACCTTCTACATTTTACAGACCAATCATCCAGCTTTCTAGAAAGCCAGACTGATTGTAAACAGATTAATACAGAGATTGTTATACATAATACAGGTTTAAAAAAAAATATCAAATGAAGTCTTATGCCACAATATCAACTTGTAGGCTCATTCATCTGCAAGTCTCAAGGTCTTTGTTTGTTTCTGTAATAAGATGTATATAATTCATTATTTTGCAGTGATTTCCTGTTTAAGATGGTACTTGTTGGAGATGATGGTGTAGGAAAATCATGCTTAATGAGTAGCTTTGCTGTGAGTGAGTTTAGGAAATATCCAGATCATTATAAAAATTAATGATGTGGTATGATTGCCAGTGAGACAACTATCCACCAAAGTACAAATGAAGTGGATATAAGCAATTATAGGCCACCATACTGCCTTCAACAATGAGAAAAACCCATGCCCTATGGTCAGCTATAAAAGGCCCTGACATAAAAAAATGTGAAACAATTCAAACGAGAAAACAAACTACCTAATTTATAACAAAACAATTTACGAAAAAAAAAATATGACAGTCATGAACCAGCATCAACCACTGAACTACAGGCTCTTGACTGAGGACAAGCACATAAGAATGTGGCGGGTTTCAACATGTTTGTGAGCACTCAACCCTCCCTTTAACCTGGGACAGTGTTGAAACAGCACAAAATAAGAACAAACTGTAAAAATCAGTTGCAATTGGTTTAACTCAAAAGATTGGTACGAATCAAGTCATTTTCTTTTATACTCACAGTTTATCAAAGCTGGAGATGTATTTCCTTTTTTTTTTTATCTGATAGATTTTAATAATACAATGTACTTTCTGAAAACCATAATTAATGAATAATGACATTATTGTGCACCTCCTATTTCATTCTTAAGAGATTACCATATCTGTACAAATTAGATGTTGGAGAAATTATTTTTTTTATATATTTTATCCGATTCCAAAATGAGTGTTGACGCTACTGTACAAACAGATAGCACAGGGATGTAAACTGTTTATATAAAATTCTTTTTTCTTTCAGGAGGGAAAACAATACATGCATTCTGCCAATTATGTGCCTACAATTGGAGTAGATTTTGTAAGTAATACATGTACATGCAATATTAAATGGCATCGTTGTCAGATTTTATACAAAGTGTAAAAAAAAATTAATTGTAAACCTTTAGCAAGGTTATCTATTTTGTATTCTTTGAATATTCAGAAATTTCAGCTTTGTATCAAAATCATGAAAATGACCCAATGTTGAATTGTATCAAATTGAATAGTTATATATTAAATATCCATTTATATCATTCATTATTTATATTATTCATTTCTAGAAAATACGCACCATAAATGTAGAAGGAAGAGTTATTAAGTTGCAGCTTGTAAGTATTAACAAAAGTCGAGTCACCAAATAAAATGATATTAGTTGTTATCATAGCTTAGAGATTATTTTTTTTATATTGTAAATTCAGAAATTATTACAATGTTTTTATCAATGCAAAAAATGTGACAGTATCAGGTTGGCAATAATAAAAACTTGCATTCTGCTTTCATAATTTCAGTAGTGATTTTCCTTCATAAATTATTATCTATCACATTAAATAGATTTCACATTTTTGCTAATGGTTGAAAAACAACAGTGTTTGAATAATGGAATCACAATCATCTTACACAAAGCAGAATGAGGGTGCCAGATAAAACAAAATCAGATATTCTCTGAATCCTTGCTTAATACAAACACTTTTTACAGTGATCATATTTAAATGAAATTCATCAATCAGTAAGACAGTCTAAAACTCACTAATTGTATTAAGTAACAAATAAACAATACCAATGGCAATATACAGGATACAAATTGCATATACACAATACTTAGCTTCAAATATTTAAATTCAAGTTGAAGAGAATTTAATTTTAGACTTCCTATATAAGTATTAATGAAATATTTTGACAGTGGGACACTGCAGGTGCTGAAAGATTTAGAAGTATAACAACCAGTTATTATAGAGGAGCTAATGGTGTGGTTATTATCTATGACATAACTAATCAGGTTTGTACGTTCTGTTTAGTGGACATCAATAAAGCACAAAGCACAACAGATATATATACAGTGGTGGATTCTGGAGGCGTATAGGGCTTATTCCCCTTTGATCAAACAAAAATATCATCTTTTGGCATAAGATTGTCCAAATTTTTTCGCATCACTCCTCTTGCAGAATTTCATGATATATTTTTAGTTTTAGGGAATTGCACCCCTTTCAAAAATCCTGGTTCTGCCCCTGGATATTTGTACAATAAATTGAAGTTTAGATTTCATGATTTCTAATGCAAAACCTGTTGTCAAGCATCACTTTTCACCTTGGACAGTCTTCTTTAAATAGTAAATTTAAAGGAGGGTAATTTTTGCAGTTTACCTTAATAGTGAAAATAGTGAAAATAAACCTCTCTTAAAAGTTTCCCTCTTATTATATTTTTAAGATTTTCAAATACTATTTCCTGTAATTGCATGTCTCAAGCTGAAAACCTTTGAATACATCTTATTTTCTTTATAAACAACTTTTACAATAGAAATAAAAGGAGATAAGTTATAAATGTTAATGAGACAAAAAAGACACGTGAAACCAAAAGACATGTAGGGGTCACCATCAAGGTTGGCTAAAAAGGGGTCAATACTAGTATTGACCAGGCGTGCGGTTTTCAGAATTCAAAACAGAACAAAAACCCCTACAATATGTTGAGTTCTCAATCTAGAAATGAGTACAAGGAGATGTGGGATATAAATTAATAAGACAACAACCCAATAACATGAATAAGCAAAAATGCATCTAGAGGTCAACATACAGTCTTCAACAAAAGACAGGTGTCTATACATTATGTCAAGCCCTTAATCATTCTGGGGCTATCAAAGTGGTGAATAAATTTAATGAAAATTCTCAAAGACCTGCCATCATAATTGAATTGACCAATTAACAAAAAAACATTAAGATATAGTATAAAATATACATTGACAAGATTCATCCTGTACATGCAGGAAAAATTTGACACTAGACATTATTAAGCAACCAATAATCAGTCATTGACAAGATTCCTGACATGGGACATACACATGCTGCACGGTAAACTAGGTTTTTTTTTAATGTAAAAACCCTTCAACTTTAAATCTGAATCCACAGAATAAAAAAAGGTAAACAAAATAATGTACAATAAAAATCAGCATAAGAAAAACTGTTCATTCTATAATACCAGTACAATAGATAACAATACAGTAATTTACAATTATTTATTAAAGAATGCTAACATACACTCAGTGCAAACTTTGTCCTAATATATATATTTTTTACCAGATCTGTTGAATTATTTTCAAATGTAGAATATCCTGATATTTCTTTATGCTTTATTTTTTAACCTTCTTTTTTTTTATAGATGCCTTTGAAAGTATCTTACTCTTTTTTGTAGAAATCTTTTGACAATGTGTCAAAGTGGGTCAAAGAAGTTGAGAGCTATGCTAGCCCAAATAGTAAGACAATACTGATAGGAAACAAAGGAGATTTGGAATCTGAGAGAATAGTAGATTATAGTACAGCCAAAGTATGTATAATCTTTAGTCAAACAATATAATTAAGTTAGACAGTTTGAAATGTCAAACAATATAATTAAGTTAAACAGTTTGAAATGTCAAACAATATAATTAAGTTAGACAGTTTGAAATGTCAAACAATATAATTAAGTTGGACAGTTTGAAATGTCAAACAATATAATTAAGTTAGATAGTTTGAAATGTCAAACAATATAATTAAGTTAGACAGATTTAAATGTCAATCAATATAATTAAGTTAGACAGTTTGAAATGTCAAACAATATAATTAAGTTAGACAGTTGAAATGAATTATTGATTATAAATATTCAATTCAAGGCAAAGTATACAGAATTTGGCAATATTTCAGATTTGGATGAAATTTTGTATGCAGTTAGAACTTATTGAACTGTATGTTACCCCTAATATTTGCATATCATTAAACTGGAAATATTTACAGCAATAACATCTTATTAAAATTCAAAATTTGCAGACATATTTTCAAGAAAATGCATTGAAAAGTGAAAAAATACATTTTTTTTCTGTTTTCCACGTTAATTCAATGTATATATAGACCTTCTTCACAACTTTTTAATTGATTGTATCTCTGGAATTATAAATACTTCATATATCAATTTTGACATCCAGTTCAAGGAGTTTTAAATACATTTTTTTTTTTATCCAAATCTAAAATATCGCACAATTATATATACTTTCCCTTAAAGGAAAAAGATTCCCTCTAAGAAATTGAATTGAAATGAATGAATTGAGTAAAAATGTAATAACTTCTTTTCTTGTTATGTAATTGTGACCTTATTGAAATAAAATGAACTTATATTTCAGAAATTTGCTGATTCTGTAGGTTTATCTTTTGCTGAAACAAGCGCAAAGACATCTAAAAATATAGAACAGGCATTTTTGACTTTGGTATCAGATATAAAAAATAAATCCACATTAGATGGTGTCAGCGCTCCTTCCAAACTGAATGCACCTGAAGCAGACGTAGGAGGTAGGTACAAAACACTCTTGTTGTTTTAACAGAAATAGGTATTTTTGGTATAAAATGTGCTAATCCTCACACCGAATATTCTGATCCAAAATCTGCGTAAGGACCTGAATTCTGAGGAGCAATTACACAAAAAATTCAAACAGTGGGTAGGTAAAATCTGGATCCTATACAAAAATAACAAAATTATTATAAGATCCTAGTATTATAGGTAATGTTCTAGCTAGTTATAATGATTTTTGTTTTCTTTAAAAGAAAGGAAAAATTGATTATTTTTAGTGCAAATATTCAGACTACCCGGTAAGTCTAGGGGTAACACCCTCTCTAACAGATGAATTTACATTTATGCAGACATTTTAACACTAAATCTGTTGAATATGTACTGATTGATATTTAAGTCTGGGAAAGCATGATTTATTATTAGTTGTATTTGGGCTTTGAACAAGCTTTCAGTAGCTGTAAGTCTTTTTGTTAGGTGCTTTGTGAGCTATGTGCTGATCTGATAAATCAAGCCCTTTCAAACTGTTTTTGCAGTTTGTTCTTATATTATGCTGTTAAACCACTGTCCAAAGTTGGGGGGAAGGGTTGAACACTCAAAAACATGTTTAACCCAGCCGCATTATTTTGTATGTGCCTGTCCCAAGACAGAAGCCTGTAAATCAATGGTTGTCTTTTAGTGCTGTCTCTCATATTTGTTTTCCATTTATCGAGGAGTGGAAGGACCTTTTTCGGGATGTCAGAATTGAGCTGTTTAATTTGTGGGACTTCCGGGATGGCCAGTTAAATTATCGCGAATTCAGGAATTTGTGGATTTAATTATATAGAGATGCGGGAACAGACACATTATTTTCATGGGAATTTTGGGTTTGACATTCATTTTTAGCTCACCGGGCCCTGTCGTCGTCGTAAACTATTTCAAAAATCTTCTCCTCTGAAACTACTGGGCCAAATACCTTCAAACTTTAACTAAATGTTCCTTAGGGTATCTAGTTTATAAATTGTATCGGAAGTTTTGATCCATCGACAAACATGGCCGCCATGGCTAAAAATAGAACATAGGGGTCAAATGCAGTTTTTGGCTTATATCTCAAAAACTAAAGCTTTTAGAGCAAATGTGACATGGGTAAAATTGTTCAATTGGTCAAGATCTATCAGCTCTGAAATTTTCAGATGAATCGAACAACCCATTGTTGGGTTGCTGCCACCGAATTGGTAGTTTTAACAAAATTTTGCAGTTTTTTGTTATTATTTTGAATATTATTATAGATATATATAAACTGTAAGCAGCAATAATGTTCAGCAAAGTAAGATCTACAAAAAAGTTTATATGACCATAATTGTCAATTGACCCCTTAAGGAGTTATTGCCCTTTAAAGACAATTTTACACAATTTGTTCATCAAGTTTGCTAACATTTAAAAATCTTCTCTGAAATACAAATGAGCGATTCAGGCTCTTGAGAGCCTCTTGTTCCCAGGAATTAGGGATAAGACCCCCTCCTACCCCTCTTTATTAATTTATCATTGGTCTTCTTGTCTGAATTATTTTACATTTTGTCTTGTCAGATTTTCCTCATAGTTGGAAGGCCATACAGTGACCTACATCTAGGCCATTTGGTCTCTGCTGGATAGTTGTCTTATTATTAAACTAAAATCTTGAAAGTGTTTAGCACAGCAAAAAATTTAAGAAACTACCAAGGGCAATTAAAAATCTTGATGAACAATACATAAAGAGAGATAACGGAAATAGTAAAAAATGTGGCCAAGTTCAATAGACCACATCACCCAACTCTTCTAAAACAAAATTGATACAAAGAATAGACAACAGTGCCCCCAAAAGAAAGGAAAAAAACCCTTTATAGTGTTTGGTACATGAATGTCTTTGGTTTTAAAAAAAGATAAGAATTAAGTTTCCAAGTCTCAGGCAATGAAAAATCATGATGAATAATACATGAAGAAAGATAACAGAAATTGTAAAAAATACAGCAGAGTTCAATGGAACACATCAACCACAAACACCCAACTTGTAAAAGGATATACAACACTGCGGCTAAAATATAGGAATAAACAAAAAACAAAAAAACCAGTCTACAAAACAAGGACAGAAAACAAGAACCCACCATATATCTATACTGAACTAATTGCTAAAGAAAAATTAGCAGTAAGGTATCAGATAAATATCAATAAGACAGCAACCAATCAACAAATGATAACAAAACAAACATTAAGAGGCTACTAAGTGATAATTAGGTGTTTGCATCTGCCAAAATATAGTGAGCGTTGTTCATTCTGATAAATAGTGAAATTGAGGTTATAATTAACCAACCATTTTATAAGTCTTAGGTATATTTAAAATATGTGTGTTTTTAGATTCATTCAGAAACACATCAGCTGGGCAAGAGGAAGAAGTCAGTACAGCATGTGATTATGACACACTTGGTACGTTTTTGCTTAAATAGGAAAGGCTATAAAATATAAATTAGTTTTCCTTCTTAGACATACCTGCAAGTTTGAAGAAAAAAAAATCATGTAATGTTTGATTTTGTTCTAAATACTGGACATCTAAACCAAATTAAAGTATAGAGTGAAAGTAAATGTTTGATCCAACAATTTGGGAAAACGGGTAAGTGCATGATACTATAGTATTGTAAACTAGAGGCTCGCAAGAGCCTGTGTCGCTCACCTGATTCTACTTTGGTTTTGGAAATCATGTTAAAATAGATTAAAATCATAACAGATACCCTAATAATGAGTGAGGCCAAATTTGGCTTAATATTGGCCCTGTAATTTAATAAAAAATCCTGGTGGCCATCTTGAACAGTAAATCAGCAACAAAGTAGCAACACTTCATCAGCACCGTATAAGAAACATTTATGCCATGTTTGGTTTCATTCCATTCAGTGCACCTCTAGAAGAAGCATTTGTATGTATTTCCAATAGGGTCTTATGTTAAAGGAAGTCCCCCTGCTGATGGCCATCGTGGATAAAGGATCAGCTTCAAAGTAACAACACTTAGTCAGCACCTCATAAGGAACATTCATGCCATTTTTTGTTTCAATCCATTCAGTGGTTCTCTAAAAGAAGACATTTGTATGTACTGTCCATAGGGTCCTTTGTTAAAAACTGTCCCCAGCTGGTGGCCATCTTGGATGATGGATCGGCTTCAAAGTAACAACACTTGGTCAGCACTTCATAAGGAACATTCATGCCATGTTTGGTTTCATTCCATTCAGTGGTTCTTAAAGAAGACTTTCGTATGTATTTCCCATAGGGTCCTATGTTAAACTAAGTCCCCCGCTGGCGGCCATCTTGGATGATGGATCAGCTTCAAAGTAACAACACTTGGTCAGCACCTCATAAGGAACATTCATGCCATGTTTGGTTTCGTTCCATTCAGTGGTTCTCTAAAAGAAGACATTTGTATGTATTTCCCATAGGGTCCTATGTTAAAATAAGTCCCCCGCTGGCGGCCATCTTGGACGATGGATCGGCTTCAAAGTAACAACACTTGGTCAGCACCTCATAAGGAACATTCATGCCATGTTTGGTTTCATTCCATTTAGTGGTTCTCTAAAAGAAGACATTTGTATGTATTTCCCATAGGGTCCTATGTTAAAATAAGTCCCCCGCTGGCGGCCATCTTGGATGATAGATCGGCTTCAAAGTAACAACACTTGGTCAGCACCTCATAAGGAACATTCATGTCATATTTGGTTTCATTCCATTCAGTGGTTCTCTAAAAGAAGACATTTGTAAATATTTCCCATAGGGTCCTATGTTAAACTAAGTCCCCCCCCCCCAGGCGGCCATCTTAGATTATGGATCGGGTTCAAAGTAACAACACTTGGTCAGCACTTCATAAGGAACATGCATGCCATGTTTGGTTTCATTCCATTCAGTGCACCTCTAGAAGAAGACATTTAAAATTGAGAATGGAAATGGGGAATGTGTCAAAGAGACAACAACCCGACCATAGAACAGACAACAGCAGATGGTCACCAACAGGTCTTCAATGCAGCGAGAAATTCCCGCACCCGGAGGCATCCTTCAGCTGGCCCCTAAACAAATATATATACTAGTTCAGTGATAATGAACGCCATACTAAACTCCAAATTGTACACAAGAAACTAAAATTAAAAATAATACAAGACTAACAAAGGCTAGAGGCTCCTGACTTGGGACAGGCGCAAAAATGCGGCGGGGTTAAACATGTTTATGAGATCTCAACCCTCCCCCTATACCTCTAGCCAATGTAGAAAAGTAAAAGCATAACAATAAGCACATTAAAATTCAGTTCAAGAGAAGTCTGAGTCTGATGTCAGAAGATGTAACCAAAGAAAATAAACAAAATGACAATGATACATAAATAACAACAGACTACTAGCAGTTAACTGACATGCCAGCTCCAGACTTCAATTAAACTGATTGAAAGATTATGTCTTCATCATATGAATATCAGGCACAATCTTTCCCGTTAGGGGTTTAGTATCATACCATCATAACATATATGAGAAGAACACAACCCGTGTCATGCCAACAACTGGTTTTTAAATAAATGTGTTTAGTTCCGATGCAAAAACCCTATAAGTGAATCAATATTAACGCCAAAATATGCAATCTTTAATGACCTGACAACAGTATCGTAACTATATCCCTTCTTAATAAGTCTATTTAAAGGTTTTGTTAGCTTCAGAGGTGAATACTGACATTTTTGTGCTTTATAAAGAATATTTCCATAAAAAATTTGATGTGAAATACCTGAACGTATAAGAAGTCTGCATGTTGAGCTATATTTACGAATGATGTCCTTATACCGATGATAAAATTTAGTAAATGTTTTGACTAGTTTGTGATATCGAAAACCCTGATGTAATAATTTTTCAGTAATACATAAATTTCTCTCGTTAAAATCTAAAACATTGTTACATACACTAGCGAATCGAACAAAGTTGAGATATATAAACACTGTAAGATGGTGACAAGGGAACGTCACCATCTAAAAATGGATAATTTACAATAGGAAATGAAAAATCATCTCTTTTATCATATATTTTAGTATTAAGCTTTCCGTTAATGATATAGATATCAAGATCGAGGAAAGGGCAGTGGTCATTGTTAGTATTAGCTTTATTTAAAGTAAGTTCAATAGGATAAATTTCTTTAGTATACATACTGAAGTCGTCATTATTGAGAGCCAAAATATCATCCAAATATCTAAAAGTATTATTGAATTTGTGTATCAGATGTTGTTTCGATGGGTCTTTGCTGATTTTTGTCATAAATTTTAACTCATAGCAATACAAAAAAAGGTCCGCAATAAGTGGTGCACAGTTAGTCCCCATTGGAATTCCGATAACCTGACGATATACGGAATCTCCAAAGCGAACAAAAATGTTATCTAGTAAAAATTCAAGGGCATATATAGTATCAAAGCATGTCCAATTGACATAGTTTTTTTGTTTATTGCTACTAAAAAATGACCTAAAAGAGTTTGAACATATAATATATTCACATTCTGATTTTTTAAATGCCCATTTAATTAGGTGTGTGAATTTTTTCTTAATGAGAATTTGAGGCAATGTGGTATATAGGGTAGAAAAATCAAAACTTTGAACAGATTCAAAATCACCAATATATGCATGCAATTTATCAAGTACTTCCAACGAGTTCTTGACACTCCAAAAGTAATTAATTCCACTATTTTCGAAGGCCTTATTTGAACAATTTATTATCAGGTTTTTGATTGTACCAAGTGCACTGGTAAGAAGAATAGACAATTTATATTTTAGTAGTGGAACAATGGCTTGAAGACGAAATGAATCTATATTTGTAAGGTGTTTTGTGTAGCTTCGGAAGCCAATACAAAGTTGGGACTTTCATTGTATTTGGTTCTGCTTGTAAAGCGGTAGCTAAAAGTTTATGTTTGTTACAGATGTCGTTTTCTGAAAATGGAGTCAGTTGGAATGTTGGTGAATTGGTGATTTCTTTTTTCAGAACCTCAATGTAAAATTTACGTCAAACAATAATAATATTATTAGCAGCTTTATCGGCCGGGACAAAAACAAATTCCTTGGCTAGTTCTTTTAGTTTATGTTTGATACGAGAAATAGGTTTATTGTGGTTATTGTTAAGAGTAAAATGTTCTTTAAAATGTTGAATACGTATATCAACTATGTTCATTACTGAATTAAAAAAAGAGTCCAAAGATTTTTTGTCAGCTTTTTCCCGTTTTATCCATTTCAAACAGTAAGTATGGAGTGAGTCGTGGATGATATTACGACACTCATTCCAATTAATAATTGACGGGGGATGATATTTAGGTCCTTTACTGAGGAATGGTTTTAACTCTCGGTCTTGAACGATGTTAAGATCTCCTGTTATAACATGGGAAATGGGTCCATAAATGTATTCGGAATTACTGCAATTACATGAAGTAGGTGTATTTTCACTGATATTAACATCTTTACACAATTGGCTATAATTAAACACAGATTTCCGGGTAGATTTCTTGTAAATATAACAAATAAGAGGGAGCTCAGTATTATCAAAATATCCCGGAATTTGTTCTTTAACAGAATGGTCGTTAAAAATACCGGCAATATTTACAAAATCAAAACCTTTATTGACATACTTTATTTTAATAAACTGTTTTTTATGATCTTCAGGGCGATCAATTTTGGGAAACAGTTTAGAATAACAATATGTATGTATTTCCCATAGGGTCCTATGTTAAACTAAGTCCCCCGCTGGCGGCCATCTTGGATGATGGATCGGCTTCAAAGTAACAACACTTGGTCAGCACCTCATAAGGAACATTCATGCCGTGTTTGGTTTCATTCCATTCAGTGGTTCTCTAAAAGAAGACATTTGTATGTATTTCCCATAGGGTCCTATGTTAAACTAAGTCCCCCGCTGGCGGCCATCTTGGATGATGAATCGGCCTCAAAGTAACAACACTTGGTCAACACCTCATAAGAAACATTCATGCCATGTTTGGTTTCATTCCATTCAGTGGTTCTCTAGTAGAAGTTCAAAATGTAAAAAGTTAACGATGACGACGGACGACGTACGCTAAGTGAGGAGAAAAGCTCACTTGGCCCTACGGGCCAGGTGAGCTAAAAATGAGTGATTTCATATGTCAAAGAAACAGTGCTATTATTGCTTTTCTTCATATAATGGTCATCAGAATTTATATATGGCTGTGTAGTAGTCAATGATGGTGCATGAGAAGCTAGTTATATGGAGTATACAATGTTTTTAGTGTATTCTTTTCTCTTTATTTTGTAGTCATTGTTGGTCTATTCTTTCATAAACATTTTTACAGTATCATCTTGTACTTCTAGATTATGTATGGTTTTGAAAACGAGGGAGTTTCTCTGCTACAATCTCATTGAAGAGTGAGAGCCCTGAAATGAGATGTAGCCTGGAAACTTCCTCAAGTTTGAAAGACCGTAGATAATCTGTTTATTGCTATTTTCTTAGGAAACTTTAAGGGCATACGATATAGTTACAGGGGAGGTAATGACATTGCTAACGTAAAATGTTATTTTTCGCGACTTCAAACTGACATATTGGAAAAAGATGCATTTTTCGACTGATTTTAACCATTAGCTTGAAAACGAGTACATGGACCCCTCTTTTTTTTTTTAAAATGACATTTGGCTTGATTATGTATAAAGATTGTTTGTACAAATTTTTATGAACAAATCACCTATGAATTTTTTGAAAATTAGATGAAGGTACAGCAAAAAATGCTGGTTTTCTAAAATATTGAAAATTTAATAAAAAAGAATTATTTCAAAAGAATTGTCACACAAATTCAGAGCATACTTTGGCAAAGAAGATATTCCAAATGCTTTTACAAAAATCTGCTTACGTTTATCTTTTGAAACAAAAAAGTTAGGTATGTCTGTCCACAGGATAGAAATTTCTAAGGAATTGAAATTTTGAGTAAATGTCCTAAAATTTCGACCCATGTATCTCTAAAAGTAGCATATTAAGGTATATTTTTGTATAGCATATTTAAATTGACTAGGTGAAAAATAGCTTGTATGCAAATTTTTGTCAAAAATTCACTGTAGGATCACAACTGTATTGAATGCCCTTAATAAAGTTGGGCTTATAACATCATCATATTTTCAATCTACTGGACTGAGAAAACTCCATCTCAGGCAAGTAGCTTGATCATACAGAAAGATCAAAGGAAAATTTAACAAGATAGAGATAAATATAGATTCTACCACTGCATCGAGTGTGATACAATATTTATCCACTCGAGACAGTTAAATTTTCAAATTTAAAACGCAAGGCTCGCCGAGCGTTTTAAATATTTAAAATTTAACTGTCGAGAGTGGATAAATATCGTATTACACGAGATTTGGTGGTGGAATCTGTTTCTCTAATGATTTTCAAACAATACGCAGGCAAATTTATTCCTTCTTTTCGAATGATCTGCAAAAAGATGTGTTCTTTCTATGTGACGTCATCAGGCATGGTCGCCTTTTTTCATGCCGTCACATTAGGAAATTCAGAGGAAAGCAAGAAAATTCGACGTCATAATCGGATTTTAACCAATGAAGAACTGAGATCAAACGAACCACACGTTGATTAAATTTTTTTTTATACAATGGGTGCAGAAAGGGATAAATTGACGAAGAATTAGGGAAACATATATACATAATAAATAATAAACCTTTTCATATACCCAGTTCTTCACGAAGATCTTGTAAGGGTTTGTAATTATTTATTTCATCTTAATTTAAATTAAAGCGTGTGTATTTCCCATTCTGATTAATTTCATAATTGTCCACTCAAAAACATCATCAATATTCTAAAGATGACAATATATAATAAATGATTATGAATTTGATAATCCATTGTTTGTTGCTTTAAAGGAAGAGTATTTAATAGTTCTATTTTTTGGCACCTTTACTAAAAGTTTATTTTCTTATGATTGAATTACATGATTTTGATTGGCTGAAGGCACTCATGAGGCATTTCAAAATCAAATTGTATTTCTCAATCAAATTCAGTATTCAAGACTACACATGCTTCCCATGACAAGGTCACTACAATGCATAGGAAAACAAAAGAAAATCAAAGATATAAGTCATAATTTCTTAGTTGTAGCATATAAATGTAATTTTAAGAATTGAATGCTACTCTTTGTAACATTATAGGGTTGTAAAAGCATTGATCATGCACACATTTTTAGTATTCAATTTTTAAATATTGAGAACCATTGCAATTTGCCAAATTTTTTAACAATGTGATGAGCAACGGTTTTAAAGGGAAGATTCTTTTTTCTTTTTATTTAGTTGAAGCACTGTAATTACTAATTTTCATTTTGAATTTTCTTTCTCTAGAAGAAGAAATTTCTGCTGGAAGGATATTTCGTGGAAAGGACATGTACAAGAAATTACTTTCTATGAAGAAATCAGATCTTTTAACATACTTGGATGCAAGGTCAAAAATAGTTGGAAATATTTCAAAGTGTGGTAAAGTGTCAACAGAGACAGAAAATGACATGCGTGTACTTGCAATTATGGTTCATTCTGTAGAATGCAGTGGCTTATAATTTTTGCCCTATGAAAACACTTTATTTATCGAATTATTTAGAAGCATCATTTAGATATATATTTTTTTTAATACAGTCTAAATGTACTTTTTTCACTTAAAAGGGGAGTGCAATCACATGCAATACATCCATATTGCTTTAATTTTGAAAAAATCAACGATCAGTACCTAAAGAAAGCAACACAATATTGAAATTAAATCTTTATAAACATTTTCAGCCTTTTGCAATACTCTAGTGCACACAGATAAGATTGAACAATTAATAAAATGCATCAAATTCTGATTTTTTTATATTTAAATTGATTATTTTATTTTATCAACAAGATTTAATGTTAATTTTTTGTACATATGATTAGAATTAAAACAAATTTATGGTGTCATATGCTGAATTATTGAAATTGAATCTGTATAAAAAAAAATCAGCCTTTTGCAATACTCTAGTGCACACAGATAAGATTGAAAAAGTAATAAAACTGCATCAAATTCTGACTTTTATATATTTAAATTGATTATTTTATTTTCTTAACAAGATTTAACATTAACATAGGATTGAAATTCAAAAATTGTTGTGTTGCTTTTCTCTGGCTGAAAATTCAGAATTTTTTTTTTTTTTTGAAGCTTTGACAATTTGAGATTAAGCTATGTGATTCCAATATTTTTTTTTTTACTTTTCAAAATTGAAATGCAAAATCGTGTGTGTGTAATTTTTGTCCTTTCACATTTTTCACATTGATAAACTTACGCAAAAATATCTGAATTTACAGATACTGACAAATATGAGAGGAGGAGTATCATATAAATAGAAAGCAATGGTATTATAATATTGGTGGTAGAAGTTTCCATAACAACATTTATGCAAAGTCATCAAGTAAAGCTTACATTTTTTTAAAAATTATGATGTCACTATGATGACATAAACATGTTAAAAAACTCACCAAGATACCAAGTTAAACTCCTAACTATCCTACTGCCTGTCGATACATTTATTTTTGGCATTGCACAAGTCATGTCTTCTTTGACTGTCCATGACGTTAAAATTCTAAGTTGATTTTAGTCTCTGATGCATGATTTTTTATTATTAATTGTTTTTGGCTTTTAACTAGCTGTCAGTAACTGTGAGTACTCTCAAATCGTACTTTCTTGTTTATTTGACCTGTTGATACTAATTGTAATGCTTTTTTGTTATTTAATGTTATTCAGGGTTATATCTGGTCTATATACCAGCTTTGATGAGTGTTTGGTATTACTATAAATTTTCACTTCGTACTATGAACATCAAAATTATTTATTTTGTAAAAATATTTCCTTTCTCTATTTGAACTGTACACGTATACCTAACAACAAAATTATTTTCATTTACCTGTGTTTAAAGTAATTGCAAATGGCTGATATTTTTGTTCGAGCATATTGTTTTTCTTAAATTGTTTAAGTTTAATTTAACCAAAAACTATGTTCTGCCATTTTGGGCTGAATATGTCAACTTTCGATTTTTAATGCTTTTCAACTTTGTTCTTGATTTGGTCTTTCAACTGTGTTGGTTCCAGTGCCACTGATGAGCCTTATGTAGACGAAACATGTGTCTGGTGTACCAAATTATAATAGATATAAGAAGATGTGGTATGAGTGCCAATGAGACAACTGACCATCCAAGTCAAAATTTATAAAAGTAAACCATTATAGGTCAAAGTACGGTCTTCAACACGGAGCCTTGGCTCACACCAAACAGCAAGCTATAAAGGGCCCCAAAAATTACTAGTGTAAAACCATTCTAGTGTAAAACCATTCAAACGGGAAAACCAACGGTCTAATCTATATAAAAAACGAGAAACGAGAAACACTTATAAACCACATCAGATTCCTGACTTAGGACAGGTGCAAACAATTGCAACGGGTTTAAATGTTTTAATGGTACCAAACCTTCACCCTTTTTCTGAAACAATTGTGTAACATCACAACATAGAAAGACACACTATAAAATATCAACTGAAATGGCTTAACTCAATCAAAGGACATATTAACACCAGTGAACATACACTGAACAAATAAATTTGACCTATGATACACTGTAAATACAAAACAAATAAACTAAGGGAAGAATAATAAAAGTAACATGTTATACCGCTATGAAATGTTATGGGCAACAACCTAACCAAAACATATTTCACCCGTATCGACATCTCTGTAAAAGATAGTGTGTAGCAAAATATCATATTGACTCAATAAAATTGAGAATGGAAACTGGGAATGCATCATAGAGACAACAACCTGACCAAAGAGCAGAAAACATCCCTTAGCCTGTTTTTTATATCAAAATATCGGAGAAAATCTCAAAATTTGGCTAATATGGCAGTTTTTGCAGTTTGCAGACCCAAAGCAAATATGTAAGACACATATATGAATATTGATATCTGACATACCAATATCTTTTGGACACATGAAGGATGTTATTTTATAGATTTATACTGTAGAGTCTACTAAATATATAGTCCCTATACTGGGGTAGTTGCATTAGAATTTTTTTTAAATTACCATATAATTTGTCTTCTATGTAAAGATAGATCCTGATTCCTTTAAGATAGCAAACAATATGTGAAGGAATGATTAGAAAGTGTACTGATCCCTGAAAAATAAAAATACTCTTGTAAATTACCAAATTACATATAACAAATCACAACATCAAATTGAATGCATGACCTTCTCGTTTTGTATAGAAAGGTACTTACATGGAATGATGTTTGGGTTGGGTTTTTTTTTAAATATTTTAATCACATATGCATGAAACTCAGGTTTACATCTCATTGTTATATATGACAAATTTTATTTTCTTAAACAAATGTTTTATGAAAAATAATGATCTGTGATACTTTTTTTATATTGAGTATATTTTGATTCTTATATTTTTATATTGAGTGTATTTTGATTCTTATATTTTTATATTTGTTTTTATCTAACAGCTGTGATATTTATCATCCTATTACACCCAGTTTATACATTTTCTGTATTTTCCTAGTTTATTTCATTCACTCCTGTTTGTGAAGATCATGAGTTACAAAGTTTTTCTTTATTTGATTAATAAGTATTAAAAGACATACAGTGTATTATATAAGTCATAGTAATGTAGTCCTTGGTAATGCAAATCTGTATGTCTTCACCTTTTTGTAATTTTTTTTTCTAATTTCATATTCATTTTATAGTATAATGTAATAAAATAATGCCAAAAAACAAAGGCTACACTAATTATTTAGATTCCTACCCTTCCCCATTGTTTATTGCTTCAATTTTATATCTTATTTTACATTTGTAAATGTTGGTTTAAAATTCCTTGTAATTTTAGGGCAATTTCTCAAGAGTAGAAACTAAATTGAAAAGCAATTCCTTCCTCCTACATTTTTTGTCCATAGAGAATGAGAATCTTTTAATTAATTAAAATTGTACTGTACTTTTTGAATTGTCAATATTTCCAAACTTTTGAAGCAAAAATGTTGCCCTACCTGGGCACATTTTTTTGACTCTGAGCTTACCAGTATTTTGGTAAATGTCACATGCTTGGTGGAAGGAAGCATATCAATTGTAATGACTTTTGTTTTAAATCCACCATTTTCTACATAAGGAAATGCCTGTACCAAGTCAGGAATATGACAGTTGTTTTCCATTCGTTTGATATGTTTGAGCTTTTGATTTTGTCATTTGACAAAGGACTTTCCGTTTTGAATTTTCCTTGAAGTTCAGTATTTTTGTCATTTTACTTTTTGTTTGACTTTTATAGTGATTAAACCCTCAATGTGATAATGCTACCATAATACTACAGAAACATACTGAAAAAGCTTCCAAAGCAATCAAACATCATAGCATATTGGGTTGCAAAAAGTTAAATGGAAAAGAACAATAGTTGAATCTCCTATAATGTATTTTTTGGACAAATTTTATTGATATGCTGCATACATATTAAGGAGTATTTGTGTAATTATTCTATCAAATTTTACATGATTTTCACACTAGATATAAAAAAGAAAAAGAAACAAACACTATACACATGTACAGATATTGAAAATAATGTATTGTCATAAATATGATTTAAAAAACATGAATTTTGTCTTGTCTTAACTACTTTGCTAATTTCAATGCAAATTTGGTAGGAAAAACGATGGAAGGTTCTCTTAAAAACGATCTCCATTTGGAACCTATTGGATGAAAATCATGGTTGCAAGAGGTAATCTTTGACTGTGATTGTCTATTTCGAAATGTTTTTGCTCTAAACTATGTTTGACCAGAAAAAAGGAAGCTTTTGAGATTTATCTCAAATTTGCTCATACTAATGATATAGGGAAAAACATATAGTTAAGAAATATAGATGAATCAATCAAAATTAACAAAGTTATGACATCATATTATGCACATATTTCATGAAAATGATGAAAATTGCTGAACTTATGCAAACCATATTTCCTTGGCAGATATTGGCAGCATGCAAATAACAACAATATTTATTATTAAAGCTTCTTAAATCTTTTTATATAATTCCACCAAATACATAGTTGTTTTTTCAATCCAAATATACTCAAAACGTTGACACAAAACAAGGAAAGTAAAAAACTTCTACAAAAGTCATGGTTTGTTGCTATGAAAATTTGTGAGAAATTTGTTTTTATTTCCTGAACACTATTACCTAAGCCATGCACTAAATTTGTGACCAAACATGGACAATATTGCCCCTATTGCTACCCCAGATGAGCAATTATGCTCCTAGGTGGCACTATTTTCTCATTTCTTTTGTGTAGCTTGAAAATGGTGTTAAAAAAATTAATAACTCTTAATTGGAATATGATTTAGAAAAATTAAAACTAATTTCCTGAAGTGTTGTTCTTTTATTGTTTGCTTAATTGCCACAGAACCAAGATCAACTTGTGTTAATGTCTGAACATGAAAGAAATATTGTGATCATTTTAAATAGATCACCAAAATGAGCTTCACAGAAAATTGTTGCTGATTATTGGATGTTCATTTTTAGCACTCAATTGCAAATATTACTTGCCTAACAGGTCAATAAGCTATGTTATCTTGTATTAACTACAAAATAGCATTGTTAAAAAATGGTTAATTGAATGTGGTTTATTTTCATGTATCATTGTTTAGGATTTTTTTTAAAAGTAGAAACTTTGTTGAAACTAAAGAAGGAATTTGACCATTTTCAGGAATATGGTAAGTTCATAAAAAATTCACAGTTTTTCCAACTTTTAATGTTGGTTAAACATATGGACTTATGTAACTCTATCCTGCATTTTTTACTTAATGAATTGAGTAAATTTTACACATGAAGTACTATTGACTCATATTATCCAGACTCATGTGGATATGTGTGTTAATGAGAAGGTAAGCTGACCTTAAAACAAACTAGTGTTACTGGTTCTCTTTTCATACTTTATTATTGGATTATAGTTTTCTTTGCACAAGTACCTAATGATTTGGATCATTTGAATTTCATGATAAAGAGGTTTTTAAGTCTTCTAAGTTCTATGAAATTGTAAGTTACTTTAAACTCTTAAAATACATACTGCCAGCTACACAGAAGGTTAGCATTAAAATTACTTGTCCTGAAAGACCATGTGAGCTATTGCTATCAATGGTTCGTCTATAAATTTTTTACACTTTCAACTCTCTGAAACGTTTTCTTAAACTTGGAGGGAGTTATATGAATGGAATTTCTCAAAAACGACCCTGATTTAGTTAAGATCGGATGAAAACCCAAGAATTTTTATTGGAACTTGAACCAAACTTGTAGTAATATGTTATAACGAATTAGAGAAAACCCATTTTGATTTCAATGTGAGACCAACACCTCTTAGGTGGTCACATATATTTAAACAAATTTAAACATCTGCAGAAAACAGGATTATCTGGGTGTGAAGAACCATACTAGACATTAACACCCAACTAAGACATATCGTTACATATATTGAGATGAATGTTTCTATTTGATAGTGCAGTTAATAGGTCGTAGGTCAAGGTCATGGATTACTAAAAATTGAGAACAAGATGATGCTAAATAAAGAAAATTTATGTGTTAAATAATACACTGGATTCGAACTAGACCTTGATGAAATATGATATTCTAGTATAAGAGAGGCGTCATTTAATTGTAGTTTTACTTATTCATTTTATGTTTTATTTTGGTTATTCTTCTATGAATGAAAAAAGAGGCTCAATTAAATATTATTACATATAAGATATGAGCGAGATGAAGGCAATTAGTACTATACAAGAAAAAAACACAGCATTGAGTAAGAATAGGTATATCAAATATCCTCTCGTGTTTAGATCTAATTCGTTGATTCCATTGATGAGTACATATCAACAAATTTCGCTTGTGTTAAGCATCTACAGACGAGAACACTAGTTATTCTACAAAAAAGTTCTGACTTGGGTTGAGCGAGCTTGCTCACTAAGGTTCTTTAATTTCGACAGAGACATAAATTATATATAATACATTTGATTTCGCCTATAAAAGATCATATTGTAGTTAGTAACTATTGATCCCATTTGTAATGCTAACTTGAATTTAATATATATCACCGGTTTTGAAGTAAGATTCAAATAAAGATCCTGTAAAACACAAGTAAAATTATCATAAATCTGGTTGTCTATGTATTGGGGATTTCATCGGACAAAATTACGTCAAAACTGTTAAAATCAATTTTTGCTGTCGACTCCAGATTTATTACCTCATACGGCGATCGTGTTTCTTCATTACCGGCGGTGTTTTCTCTCTGTTCATTGAATATTTCACAGAAAGAGTTGTCAGTGCACAAAGTACCGTCAGTTGTCTTAAAACTATTTGCGTCTAGTTCTGGAACTGAAACCAATCTCACTGATATGAGTTGCGAGTGGCACTGAGGCGAGTTGTCTTGATTACTGGGATAATGATGTATTACAGTTTCAGGTCGATTCATTTCGATTCCATTAATGCTTTCTATAGAAACCTGCGATCCTTCAAAACTGTCCTGGTTCAGTTCGACTGGATCTTGTTCATTGTTAGATGCATCTGGAATATCCATTCGTTGCTCAATATATTTCATATATTGACAAATAAAGCATTGTTCTTTGAACTTTCCTTCCATGGCCAGGCGAAATGATTTTTTAATGTATTCGAATGCTAATGATAATTCATCCTCGATCTCAAACAGCCTTGCTCGTGCCATTAGATAAAACATTTCTCTTCTTGTATCCATGTTGTCCTGAGTTTTATTTAATATTCCAAGTACATGTCTGGCCTTTTTGATACATTCAATGGTAATAATGCAATTTTGGATTATTGTTGCCCGGTTTCCAATTCCAAGTAGGCAAAAAGCCATCCTTAACAAAAACATACGGGTCCACAAAAGTCGTATCTCTTCTTCTTCGTCTCTTAGACATTCAATTCCAACTTCAGCCATTTGAACTAACGACTCTCGAATTTGGTGGTTTGGGTTTTGTTCAAACTGCCAGAGCCTTACATAAACTTCACAGTATATCATGTTTGCAAGCTCTAAACATGGGGTCATGAAAGCGGAACAACTTTTCGCCTTTTGGAGATATTTTTCGCCCTGTGAAAAGTATTTTCCGATAGCACATGCGTTTGCTTGCCTTCCATATAAAATGACATCTGTGACCATTGTGTTTGTTGTAAATGGAACAATTTCTCGTAATTCTTTGAATAGGTCGTGATCGGACAATTCTGTATTGAATGTAATTGCATGTGCATCGATTTCAGCGCCCAGAACAGCAACAACCCTGTCTGCGATGAGTTGTTTTTTCATGCAATCCTTTTCCCGTAGCATAGACATCTGTAATCTCTTCGCTAACGATCTCAAAGTGTTTAATGGATCTTTAAATTCGGCATTCCAAACCTTTCTTTTTAACATTTTAAAATACTGTTGGACTTGTTTTCTGTTTGAAGTATCTATTCTGCAGACACGGGCAACCGTTGACGTTTGTAGCACTTGCTTTTCTAATAACATCCTAGAAATGTTATGGTGGCCAGATTCTCGAAGAGCATTTATCAGTGTACGGAACGAACAAACGTTCTGAAGCTTCTGTAATAAAAATTCACACAGCCTTCGATTTGGCCAATGAAATTCAAACGCTTTTTGATGAAAATCTTCATACAAATATTGATCAACTGTTTTTGTTTTGTACAAATGATATAAAAGCTGAACCGGGTCAATCTCATCCTTTGACTTCTCACTTAAATCGTTCAGGATAGCTATTTCTATATCAGTCATTCGTTCTGGCCTGACATATGAGTATTTAAATATTATTTCTTCCATGACGGGTTAATTATTATAGTTGAAACCTACAACAATTTATATATGTTATTTTTTTAATTTTTGTTGTTGTTTATGCAATATATCTTGAAAGGATATGTTCGGTCGATTATAGTTATTACGGCCCTGTGTAATAATAATGTCTTAATAATCAGTAGGTTCAAACATAACTGGATAGTTTACAGTTGTTATATTTCATTTTATAAATAGTTTCAGAATTTTACATTATGAAGAAAAACATATACGTTTGATCATATTTTTCTCATTTTATCAAATTTGTCTCAATATTTTCTTTGAAATTTTATAATGCTAAAACATACCTTTTGTATCATATGTAAAACGAAAATACAGAAACGAAACAGTACATGTTTGACGTAACTATGAACTATTATGCCTTTATTAAATTAAACAGTAACATATGTAATTTATTGTTGAAAAATTCCAGTTTAAAAATAGACAAGTTCCTTATTCAATGAAACACACAGTGTGCATATATAAATACATATACTTATATATATTTATACAGATATATGTCAGTGTAATAGAACAAAAATGAAAATTAATACCTAGAGCTTGTGTTTGTATTTTATCACTTCGTGGAAAAGTCGGTAGTGAAAGTGATCAGTTCACGGTGTATAATATAGGTCCATTATTGATATATCACATAGATTTACCACAATAATACGATATTCTCACTGAAGTCGCGTGAACTCAACGACACTTTAACAAGATTGAATCAGGTTCGTGGGAAAGACAAGAAGATCATGGAATTCGGATGTTTACCTTGAATGGAGCTGACTTTTGAGTTTACAGAGGAAGTTATGTATGAGGCGCCGTTTTACTATTTATTACCTATTTTCTGATATCAAAAATTCTATTTTTTGATATCAGAAAATCGATTTCTTGATATCAAGAAATAAAGAATATTTTCTGATATCAAAAATTCGAATTCCTGATATCAAAAATTCATTTTTGGATATCAGGAAATAATTTTATTGATATCAGAAAATATTTTTGATTTTTTGATATCAAGAAAAAGATTTTGTGATATCAAAAAATGATTTTGTGATATCAAGAATTCGAATTCCTGATATCAAAAAATGATTTTTTGATATCAGAAAATAAGAAATAAATGAATGATGGCTCCCTGTGTGTCATTTAAAACATTCAGGCTCACCAATGAGGCCAAACATCAGGAAATATCTGAAATAATGTTCCCGGTAGACCAATTGTTTTATAATGTGGAGTACCACTATACACGGTATTGGTCATTATATTGATGACATTGTGTCCCTTGTTACAAAAACAAAATGCTTATACACTTCAAGTTTTATAAACACGAATAAGACTTCAAAGTCTCCGGAAAACTGCTATTTAATGACAATATTTGAAGCAAAAAAAATATTTACACTAATCTTCAGTTTGATCAAACTTATTACGAAATTCAAGACCCATGCACTAAAAGACAATATATGGAAGATTTTTTAAAATTATTCCTAAATAAAACATATTTACTCTTGTGTCGTACAATCCGAATTGACGGGATATGTCGACCTAAGAATTTACTACATACTGGAAAATGTTTTCAAGATTTAGATACGATGGCTCGATAATATATTCAGGTTCAACTGGCGATATACACGATCTTTTTGCCTTATATATCTAATACAATGCATATATACCCTACTAAATTGTACTTACCACTTTTCTCAAAATGAAGTGAAAGTTTCTTGACAATCCTTTCAATATAAAGACAAACTCTTCCAAAATGAAGGTATTTTAGAGATGAAAACGTACATCCAACCTACTGAAACGTTTCATTACTTCACAGAAAAAGCTCATATGTATTTAAAAGGTTAATGGAAGACGCGGTTCATAAGAAATACTAGCAGTCTCGTAAAAAGACGAAATAGACAAATCTTTTGAAAATACAAGACATGCATTTTTTTATGTTGTTGGCTTTGAACTAGTTGTCACTATCACATCTGTAATTTGTGTCTTTTTGTTGTTGTTACCCTGCCACGTTTGTTCTTACACTATGTTGTAATGTAACACCAGTGTCCCAGATTAGGGGAGAGTTGAGCGCTCAAACATGTTTAATCCCGCCACATTCTTTATGTGTCTGTTCCAAGTCCGGAGCCTGCAGTTTAGTGCATTGTCTTGGTTCATAGAATTGAGAATGGAAATGGGGGGAATATGTCAAAGAGAAAACAACCCGATCAAAGAGCAGACAACAGCCGAAGGCCACCAATGGGTCTTTAACGCAGCGAGAAAATCCCGCACCCGGAGGTGGTCCTCAGCTGGACCCTAAATAAAATTGTTGTCATAAATCCTCAACATAAACAACGGGGAAAAATATAAAAACAAGATGAAAAAAACACTGGGCTTGATATTTGCAAAAACCTGACTGCACAAATCTGTTTCAGAGGAAACCAATAATTGCTTATAAAAGAAGCGAGAACTTACAATTGTTGACTATAAACCTTAAAATAATAAATATGTGAAACACAAAAAACACAAAACTTCTTATATTAAGACTGATGAAGCCGAACTCTGATATATGCTTTCGTATATATTACACGACCGAAACACCAGACTTAATGTAAGGGCTCATTGATGAACGTTGATGCTTTTATTGACACAAAGGGAGCAATCGTTGACATTTTTCTTATTTTCTTATTTTTTGATATCAGGAATTCGAATTTTTGATATCAAAATATCATCAAAATAACGTCAAAATATCGTCAGTAATAGTTGATATCAGAAAATCTATTTTTTGATATCAGAAAATGGATTTCTTGATATCAAAAAATGATTTTTTGATATCAAAACATCGAATTTCTGATATCATTAAATAAAGATTATTTTCTGATATCAAGAAATCGAATTCTTGATATCAAAAAAGGCAATTTTTGATATAAAAAAATTGAATTCCTGATATCAAGAAATATTTTTTGATATCAAGAAATATTTCCTAACATCAAAAAATCATTTTTTGATATCAGGAATTCAATTTTTTGATATCAAGAAATATTTTTTGATATCAGAAAATAAGGAATAAATAGTAAAACGGCGCCTCATATAGTTATGCTTCCATTGTTTTTTAAATAGTTGTAAGCACTTCAGCTTTGAGGAAGAAGGCGATACTTTCGTTTATTATTATTGAAATTTTGGCCTTTTGACCTTCGATAAATGGTTATTTTTTAGAAAGATCATTAATTTAGTTTTTACTGTCAGGTTATGGTTATAAAAAAAAACAAGCGTTTGGGTAAACGAATTGGTTTTTTTTCAGTATTTACTCCAGTATTGCCACTGTATGGACATAAATAAAAAGTTCGATGTTTTAAGATAATCAATATTCATTTAAATACTAGTAATAAAAAACAACATTATATTAGATTTATTGAAGTCAATATGAAATAAGAGACACAGAAACAGTACAAAAATGCTTTTTAGGACAGGCAAGCTACTGGTCTTATGTTCGAGAATGTGTTGGGTAAGTTTAAGGGTAACCACCAGGGTAAGTCAATGTGAAACGATATTTGGTGTGCAGTTGGTATACTCTTTTCCATATCGATTATTTACCCAAACCCTCTCGGGCATGCTTCATTTACATTGAACTTTTGTGATGCCACAACGAATTACTGATACAGAAACAAGTGTTCCTAAATATATAAAAAGAGGCGGAAAATACCAAAGGGATATTTAAACTCATCAGTAAATGACGAACTGACACCGCCATTGCTAAAATCGAAACAACGACCAAAAGACAAATAACAGTATACAAAACTTCAAGAATTAACAACACGAACACCATCAAAACCGGGGGTTATATCCGGTGCTCCTGAATGGTGAGCAGATCCTGCTTCACATCTGGCACCCGTCGTGTTGCTCATGTAAGTACAAACTCGGTGATAAGTCTAATTTGGTGATGTCACACTCGAGGAAATGAGGACGGGATTGTGGTTACGACAATTGGAACATATCCGTCGTCAGTTGGGAAATCGAAGGATGTGATAGACCCGGTTCATCTTTTATATTATTTCTACAAAACAAAGAATGTGGATAACAAATTTGTTTGAGGATTTCAAACAAAAAGCGTTTGAATTCCATTTGCCAAAATGATGTGTGAATATTCATCACAAAAGCTTCAAACCTTTTGTTCACTCAATGCACTTATAAATGATCTGCAAGAACTTGGCCTCCATTATATTTCAAGGATGTTATTAAAACAGTTATTGCTTTCAACGTATGCGGTTGTCCGTGTCTAAAATACAAATATTTCAAACAGAAAACAAGCCCACCAGGATTTTAAGAATGCTGAATTTAAAGATTAATTCTAAACTTTCTGATCATAAGCTAATATATAACGTATTTTAGCATTGCACGAAAGGATTTCATAAAACGCTGCTCCTCGAAGACAGGGCTGTTACTGTTCTGGCGTTGAAATCGATGCACATGTACTTACATAAAATTACAGAATCACGATAATTTGATCCACATAAAACAAACGCAATGGTGAGAGGAAGGCAAGCAAACTCATGTGATATCTTAAGATCCTTTTCACAGGGCGATAAATATCCCTAAAAGGCAAGTTGTTCCGCTTTCACGGCCATGTTTAGAGCTTTCAAACATGGTATACTGAGAGGTTCCCGTAAGACTTTGACAGTTTGAACAAACCCAAACGAGTCTGATTATACTAATCAAAGTGTATTACAGGAATTTTCGTTGAAATTTACTTCTATCCAAGTGATATTTATTTCACTCAATGTTTCCATCAACTACAAAGATTTCCATAGTAGTAGTTCCTATCTAAGTATGACCATAGACACAATCAATGAGATTAAGTGAGCAAGCTTTCACACACCACGTCCCAATTTTTTTTAAAAAGGCAGTTGTCAAAACAGGTACTTTAACTAAGTTGTTCTCTACTCATTTAAGTCGTGTTCTATTCTGATGTTAAGTTCCAGTGAACATATGAACTTCCCAATTTGCACTGTATTGATTTTTTAAGTATCTGCGTCCTTGTTGTAGACCTTTCTCTTACAACAAATAGATAGATGCATACGTTTGATTCAAGTCACAAGAAAGACCCATTGGTGGCCTGGGCGGTTTTCTGTTCTTTCGTCGGGTTGTTGTCTCTTTGGCACATTCGCCGTTTCCATTCTCTATTCTATTGGGTTATCTCTGTCATACTTTTCATCCAATCAAAACCAAATGAGAGTCGTTTTAAGAGTAAACTACATACATGTATATTAGTATATTATTCGTGCAAAGTTTGGAAAAAATTAGTCAAGATAATTCCAAGAAGGTAAAAATGTAAATCTTGATGATAATAAGTCGAATTCCCTTTATGGCCAAGTGAGCCAAAAAAAAAAAAAATATGACATATATAGTATAGTATATGTCAACTTG